ACTGCATGTGCAATTAAATTGCGATGTGACAAAAGGAGATTTTCTAATCTCAAAGGCTTCAATTTGGCAGCGAGTGGTTAGCGCAATGCTAATATACATGGAAAAACCCATAGCAATGCTAATGCTAATATCACCGACTACATTATTACAAATTATGAATTAGAAACGTGCCAAATGATTACATTTGGAGTCTTATAGAAAGTAAAAATACCATCAATCAAATAAGTACAGACAGGTATTTTAGTAAAGCCAGGAGATTTTCTAATCTCAAAGGCTGCAATTTGGCAGCGAGTGGTTAGCGCAATGCTAATATACATGGAAAAACCCATAGGAATGCTAATGCTAATATCGCCGATTACATTATTGCAAATTATGAATTACAAACGTGCCAAATGATTACATTTGGAGTCTAATAGAAAGTAAAAATACCATCAATCAAATAAGTACAGACAGGTTTTTTAGTAAAGCCAGAAAACTTTTAACTCCAGAGTTTTGGCTAGCAGCTACAGTCTATGACAAGACGTCAAAAACTCTAAACACAAAATTCTTAAATAAACGGGACACACTTCTTTCCTGCAAATACAATTTCACAGGTGTTGCTAATACCTATGATTCTTCAAGCCAAGGGATGTGCTCAAAGAGGAGTTCAACATTATGAATAAGATATATAAGATGTAGTGTTTTATTTTACAAATACCATTATAAACACAAACTTATGTCTTAAGAAACATTATTTTAATAATGAAAGTGCTAAATTCTTTCCAACAGTATAGATTTGTAGTGCATTTTGTCCGAGTCGGTTTGCCGTACTTTGACGTCATCGGCAGTCGAAGGACCCCGAGCCGATCTTGCACCCGAGCAGATCTTGTACCGACGCCGGCTCTGATCACTGACAGCTCCATAGTCAGAAACGTGGCATTAGAGGCTCCAGCAACCATAGTTAAATGTTTACCTGGGGCCAGAGCGGGCGACATTAAATCTTATCTGAAACTGCTGGCTAAGGATAAGCGTAAATACAGTAAGATTGTTATTCACGCTGGTGGTAACGACACCAGGTTACGCCAATCGGAGGTCACTAACATTAATGTTGCTTCAGTGTGTAAGTTTGCCAAAACGATGTCGGACTCCGTAATTTTCTCTGGCCCCCTGCCCGATCGGACCAGTGACAACATGTTTAGCCGCATGCTGTCCTTCAACCGCTGGTTGTCTAGGTGGTGTCCTGAAAACAACGTGGGCTACATTGATAATTGGAAAACTTTTTGGGGAAAACCTGGTCTGATGAGAAGAGACGGCATCCATCCCTCTTTGGATGGAGCAGCTCTTCTTTCTAGGAATATGGCCAGTTTTAATAGTCCTCCATGACAACCCAGGGTCCAGACCAGGAAGCAGAGTCATAGTTTAACCCACCCCTCTGCAGCTTCTGTACTGTTACCCACCCACTACCCCATAGAGACAGTGTCCTGCCCACGGCCAAAACCACACAGATTAAATATCAGGCTTAATAAAGCAAATCATGGAAACCTCATAAATATTGGAACAAATTCAACTGAGCAGAAAACTAGAATAATTAAATGTGGGTTGTTGAACATTAGATCCATTTTTTCTAAGACTTTGTTAGTTAATGACTTGATTTGTTATAATCAGATCTCTTTGCTCTCTCTCACAGAATCCTGGCTGCAGCAAGAGGACTATGTTAGCTTAAACGAGTCGACTCCTTCAAATTATTTAAATCATCATATTGCTCGAAGTACAGGGCGAGGAGGAGGAGTAGCAACCATTTTTCATTCGGAATCAATCCCTTACCAATTAATAGCTACAGTTCGTTCGAACATCTTATTCTTAGTTTTCCTAATCCAGATTGCAAAACTGTAAAACCACTGTTGTTTGTAGTTTTATATCGTCCACCAGGCCCTTACTCTGAGTTTTTGGATCAGATCTCTGATTTTTTATCTGATTTGGTGCTAAATACTGATAAGGTCATTGTAGTGGGGAATTTTAATATTCATGTGGGCATTGAAAATGATAGCCTCATTGTAGCCTTTAGTAATATCTTAGACTCAACTGGTTTTACTCAAAGAATACATAGCTCCACCCACTCCTGCCATCATACATTGGACCTTGTGCTGACTTATGGCATAGAGTGTGAGGAAATAACCATCTTTCCCCAGGGATGGGTACCGAATTCGGTACTTTTTAAGGTACCGACTGTAACGTGAGGAAGTATGGGTTTTCTGTGCCAAAGGTCGTATTTGCCCGGCTGGGTCAAAGCTGGGTCACGCAGCAACTTTCACCCACAGATTAAGACCTGAGCCAACAGCAAGTCTGAAAAAAGCCACAATATCTAACACCTGCTCTTCAGAAGAAGGAATTCTCACACAGTCTAGTCATAATAAAACAGAGTCTTAAACTTTCTTCATTATTAATGCTAAATAATCATTTTATCACTTTGCTCATTATAAATGTATTTTAATCAAATGAATGACTATTATGCTTTGGGTAATCATAATGAACTATAATGAATCAGTACTTAATTAAATAATGTTTTTGAAGATGTTTAGCGATGACCTTCACACTCGCTCAAACAGGTCTGTATTCACAGTAACTCAAAACACATTTGCTCTGACGCACAAGTTTGCTTTGGGAAGAGAAGTGGTTTTTGGTAAGTTAGTCAGAACGAGATTGAGAACGAAAGAGAGCGGACGTGCGGAACAAACACAATGGGAAAGGAGCCCTGCCGGCTCTTTTCTCTCCCCCCCACGCTATTTCTGTCAAGCCAGACAGAATAGCTGAAATGCAACCAGCTAACGCAGACTCGTCCCAGAGTCTTTGATTTCTGAGTTAATTTAAATTTGAGAAAGCGCATCTGCTAAACGCTTCATCAACGTGTACCGAGGTCAACTCTGGACTGGACCTTCGTCTTCTCTGTCAGCCAAGGTGTCCTGGATAAACATCCTCCGAGATCCGGATATAAAGGGGGTGAACATGATAGATAGCGTTCTGATGCTGGTTTTCTAATAAGAACCAAAGTTTAATTACAAAACATCATTTTTCACTCAGATCACCTTTTCTCTCCCTGAAGCAATCTCATACACCTGCATGCACACATTCATAATTCCATCATCCTCAATCTTAGCACATCCAACACAAGGTCTATTTGTGCAAGCTTAAAATATCAACTGTTAAAGATTGTCCAACAAGGTTGCCGATGTTGATTGTTTTTCCTATGATTGTCATTTCAAATCGTTAGTTTAAATTGAAGAATTAAACTCTTTAATTTCAAACTTGCCTTTTCATTGAACTGAAACACAGACAACTGGATATGATCGTCAGTTTATCGATCAAAACAATCTTTGAGTCTTCTTATCTCTATAAAATGTGGCTGTTAATTTATTAAAATTAATATTCCAGATTATTATGTAGGACGGTTTATCTTTCATAAAAGAGCCTTACATCATTACGTTACAGCCTCCACTGGAGGCAGGACCTCATCCCTGACTTGGAGAAGTCATTCTACCCTCATCTGACTCTATTTATTTATTTATTTATTTATTTATTTATTTATTTATTTATTTATTTATTTATCTGTGAAACAAAACCTTTATTTAACCAGGAAATAGACCTCATTGAGATAAAAAAAAACTCTTTTTCAAGAGTATCCTGGCCAAGAAAAGCAACAAGATACGATTCTGGACACACACACAGGCAAAAAATCAATACATAAAATATGTTTAAAAAAATTATACATATATATATATATATATATATATATATATATATATATATATATATATATATATATATATATATATATATATATATATGTGTGTGTGTGTAAAATAAAAATTCCACTATCAAGTCAGAATAAAAAAATATCAATGAATAGTCAATCATAAAAGTTTCCAAAATGACATAATAAAATGCCAACATAAAAAAATTGGGTTAGACCTTTCATAAAAATTGACTTGATAAAACTATCAAATAAAACATCTACAGCCAACCCTTCCAACATTCGTGTAAATGTAATTTTATGTATAAATTGTTTGCCTGTGTGTGTGTCCAGAAACATGTCTTGCTGCTATTCTTGGCCAGGATACTCTTGAAAAAGAGATTTTTAATCTCAATGAGGTCTATTTCCTGGTTAAATAAAGGTTTTGTTTGATTGATAAATAAATAAATATTTTGATTGGGAAAAGGGTAGAACGCCTTCTCCGGGTCAGGGATGAGGTCCTGCCCCAAGTGGAGGAGTTTAAGTATCTCGGGGTCTTGTTCACGAGTGAGGGAAAACTGGAGCATGAGATCGATAGGCGGATTGGTGCTGCATCTGCAGTGATGCGGGCGTTGTACCGGTCTGTCATGGTGAAGAGAGAGCTGAGTCAGAAGGCGAAGCTCTTGATTTACCGGTCGATCTACGTCCATTCTCTCACCTATGGTCACGAGTAGGGCTGCTCGATTATGGTAAATGGCCTGTATTTGATATACGACTTCTGGAGTCCTGGAACCCCCCCAAGGCACATTACAACACAATCAGTCATTCACCCCTTGAGCGAGGCTCGAACCTGCAACCTTCCGATTACAGGGCGAGCACTTAACTCCTGTGCCACCGTCACTGTCAGCTTGCGAATGCAAGCAAATGAAATACGTTTTCTCTCTGGGGTGGCTGGGCTTTCCCTTAGAGATAGGGTGGGAAACTCAAGTCATCCGGGAGGGGCTCGGAGTAGACCCGCTGCTCCTCCACATCGAGAGGAGCCAGTTGAGGTGGCTCGGACATCTGGTTAGGATGCCTCCTGGACGCCTCCCTGGTGAGGTTTTCTGGGCACGTCCAACCAGGAGGAGACCTAAAGGTAGACCCAGGACAAGCTGGAGGGACTATGTCTCTCGTCTAGCCAGGGAACGTCTTGGGATTTCCCCAGAGGAGCTGGCCCAAGTGGCTGTGGAGAGGGAAATCTGGTCTCTGCTTAGGCTACTGCCCCCACGACCCAACCCGACCCCAGATAGGCAGGTATAACTGGATGGATGATAGAAATGTTATCGATGAAAAAACTGTGAAATTAACATTCTTAAATTGTTTAGGTTTTTTTTGTTGGGTTATGGGATAATAAGCAGGTCTGCACATGTATGGTCCACAGATACACGTGCACAACAATCATAAAGCGTGCGCACCATTTTCTTTTCAGCTACCCTCCCTTATGTACCAGTGTTGGTAAGAGATGCCCCATCCATTTGTGTTTCCAAAACTGCTCTTCACTATGCTGTGCTTGTATCACAAGGGAACTACAGCCGCCATGAAAGGTCAAATATCAAGTTTCAGCCTTCTCAGGGGCACCAGTTCCATGTGAAGTGAATACCAAACATCAACACTTGGCGCTCAGTTTTGTAACTCCATTGTAAAAGTTACATGCACCCTTGGTAATAACCATGGCTCTCTCATGTGGTAGATGGTAGCTTCATCACCTGTCTGAGGCCGAGAATTAGAGGGTCTTCCTCTGCAGACAGTCTGACAGCGTAACAGTAGCTCATAGGCAGGTAGACCTGACGGAAGTAGCACCACAGAGTGGAGGGATGGCCTGGTACCCAGGTGGGGAGAAGCCTGAATCAGATAAAATACATGAGTCAACTTTAAGCTTAAGAGATGTGATTCATACTTTGTTTATCTTTGATGTTGCAGAAACATCTCCTAATGCAGTCTGTCACTTTGCTGTCAGAGTAACTCAGGGTGTCCAAGAGGTTGTTTTTAAGACCAGATACATAGAGAAGTTAAATATCTTATCACCAGAACAAAAACCTTAAATGGTTACAAGGAAGTATTGCTGCTTGGAAGGAAAACAAGGGACTTTTGCAAAGTTAGGATTAAGATTTAGAAGTTTCTCTTATTTTAAAGCAGATAGAAGAAAACAGTAACATATCTTAAATCTCACCACATCTCTGGTATTAACGTGTTCATTCCCTCCCAACTGTAGACATTTAAAACAGCCAACCAGAATTTACCCCATGATGGGATCCCGACTGCACCACCTACGAAGCGTGAAACACAAAGCGAACTTGAATCAGCTGCTACTGCAGAACATAAAAGCACAACTTGGTTTGAAGCCATTTATTGTTGCCTACAGAGTCCAGCCAGATTTTCTTCTACTCTGACCTTTGCTGTGCAGGTTGTTCCGAGCACGAACCAAATCTGGGTCATCGGGATCCACCCCCAGGATCCTCAAGACGACGTAGTTCAGGGCTGTTCCTAACACGGTAGATTTATCTTCAATATGTCTGCAGATAAACCAAAAACACACAAAACACTGTCATCAAAATGATCAACAAGGAGGTTTTTTTAAACAATAAAAAATAAAACTTGTTGATAATTGTCACAATTTATACCCCTTCGGGATTTCAGCTTGTGGTACAACTTAAAAAACAAACGTATGAAGCTGTCTGATGTTGCCTTACAGACCCCAGCCTCCATCTGGCAGCTGAACCGACCGATGGTATCTCACAATCTCCTTCTTCCATGCCTCTGGCATGTGGATCTTAGCTATATAAAATGTGATGATAAGACCTGGAAGCATAAAGACGTCCAATGGAAAAGACCAAATGATTTTCCTGCATCATGTTCTAGTCCTTTAAATTTTAATCCAGTCAGAATGGGGGTGCTACAGGTAATCACTGCAAATGTAAAACAGGAAAATGATTATTTTCACCTGGGAAAAACAGAAGTGGTCCAGCAAAGTCTCCCACCCAGCTACCATCCTCAACCTGGAGGTGACTGTAGAAGTCCATTCCTTTCATTGCAGCAGCCAGAGCAGTTTGGGCAGGCAGGGACTCTGGAACAAACTCACTCTGAGGAGATGACCAGTTATCAGCAAAAAACACACCAAATTTCATTTCAGATTTCACTTCAGCTACAGATAACAAAAATGCTGCTCTTATTTCTTACACCTACAGTGTCTAATCCAACAGAATAAGCTTCCAGCATGTTCCGAGGTCTGTGGCAGCTTTCCTGATCCTCCACATAGCTCCAGATCTGCCCTCCTCCTACATTAGTCAGCCTCCAGCGCCTCAGGTCTGTGGCTGGTTCTGTTTTAGAAGGTCCACCTCGCCTTCGCAGGAACCTGCAACAGAAAGAAAGCATTGATTACAGTGGATCCTGGGAAAGGCAGAATTGGTAGGAAGACCAGAACAAGGAGAGGGAGGTGATAAAGGTCCCACCAAAGCCTGAACAGGTGAGTTTAAAGGAGACCACAGAGTCCACTGATCTCAGGCTCAGGGGGAGAGAGGTCCAGAGTCTGGGGGCCACAGCAGCAAATGATCTGTCACCTTTGACCTTTAGCCTGGTGCTGCACAACCAGGAGGCTTTGATCACTGGACCTCAGGGACCTGCTGGGGGTGTAGGGACTAAGAAGATCACCAATGTAAGATGGTGCTTGTCCATGTAAGGCCCTATAGACCAGAACCAGGATCTTGAAATGAACCCTGAAGTTGACTGGCAGCCAGTGAAGCTGGAGGAGAAGCGGGGTGATGTGGGTGTTAAAAATTATATTTTTAAGCTGCAAAGTTTTTGAACTAACTGATTTAAAAAAATTCTTAGTCAACTTTTTATTTAAACCATTTTTAATATTTCTGTTTCCATCTGAAGTAAATACACGTTATTTTGCTGTTGCATTAAATCTGTGCTGCTTCTTAACATCACCACTAGGTGGCTCTGTTGCATTAAAGTTGTGCTGCTTCTTAACATCACCACTAGGTGGCTCTGTTGCATTAAAGTTGTGCTGCTTCTTAACATCAACACTAGGTGGCTCTGTTGCATTAAAGCTGTGCTGTTTCTTAACATCACCACTAGGTGGCTCTGTTGCATTAAAGTTGTGCTGCTTCTTAACATCACCACTAGGTGGCTCTGTTGCATTAAAGTTGTGCTGCTTCTTAACATCGCCACTAGGTGGCTCTGTTGCATTAAAGCTGTGCTGTTTCTTAACATCACCACTAGGTGGCTCTGTTGCATTGTTTATATGACAGAAAATATTAGTTTTTTCTAGTTTACCGTAAGTCCTCTAATACAGGCCGGTATTCAATTAAAGGCCAGGTCTCCAATTTTGGCCGGTGTCGGAGTCGGCGGAGGTGAATAATGGCCGGTCTCTTATTGTGGCCGGGTGGAATGTGGTAACAAGCAAGTACGGGGGGCAGTTGTGTCATCGTCTCACTTTTGATTTGCCAGTGATAGACCGCGAGGGTAACTTTAACCGTGCGAAGACGAAGAGGAGGCGAAAATTTGATATCAAGTTCAAAGAGAACGTGCTGATTATGCTGCAGAACACTCTGGGGAGCAGCAAGGGTTGTATGAACTAGTCGACTTCACCGCTCTATTGTGACTTGTTATGCCTGTCGTCGACTAGTCGCTGTCACGTGATAATGACTGGCAAGATGCAGTCCACGGAAAAGACAGCAGCCTGCTGTCAGCAGGTAACAAGCTCCTGCGCTCGGGGGGACAACGCGCTGTGCCAGAGCGTCGGTACTGACACGCGATCGTTCATGTCATTTCATTTCCTTTGATGTTTTCTGTCTTTTATTTGTGCCTGATGCATTTCGCTGTGGAGCGGGGCGCATCACCTTGTCATCCGGTGACGCACCGATCATTGATGCGGCCGCCAAGCAGCGAGCACTCTGCTGTTTTTGCGGTCGATAGATCTTTCAGAACTGCAGTTCAAAGGTAACTCATGAGGTGAATATATTTGAACCCAGGTAGCAGTTTTTCTTTAGGACTGAGAGGAGATGCAGGAAGATAATAAACAGGCAGGACAGAAAAATTGTCAAATAAAAACAAGTTAGTTTTTGTACCTGCTGGTTGCAACAAACAGACACCATTGAAGGTAATCAGAAGTGAGGAACAGAAACTGAAATAATTATTTTAATGTTTAGAGCAGCAGGAACTCCGAGAGGCTGCAGGCGCATCAGTGAGTTTGCGGCCGCTGTGCAGGGGGAGGGGGGGAGGGCTGAAGCAGAAACTACCGTTGTTAAAAGAAATGTGTTTAACTTTGAAAATGTGGGCGCAATTTTAATTGTCAAAAACTCCAGCGAACCATTAGTTCATTTTGCTCAAATAGAAATAGAGCCTTGCCTCTAATTCTGGTCCTCCTTCCAATAAAAGCCTGGAGCTTGATGAGCTTGAGTCAAATACAGGCCTGGGCCTGTATTAGAGGATTTACGGTATGTTTAAGTATAGTTTAAAAACCAGTTTTTAAACTTTTCAAAAATAAAGATTTAGATTTTTTTTTAAACAAAAGGTTTACATTTTGGTCAAGGTCAGTTTTATTTATGTAGCACATTTACTGTTGCTCAAGCAACCCAAAGTGCTGTGCAGTGCCCAAAATGCCACATAAAACTCACCCAAAAATGAAACACATTAAAAAGATAAGAAGTAGACAAAAATAATTAAACCATGAATAAAATGACTAGTTTAGAGTAAAACAATAACTAAAAGATCAAAGAATAAAACCATCATAAAACTAGATAAAAAGTAAAAGAATAACTGCACAGATCAACCAATATTAAAAAGAAGGTCAAAGAAATGTGTTAAACAACAAAGCCTAGGGGCAGCTACTGAAAAAGCTCCATCTCTTTGGGTATCACACCTGTACTGGCGCAGCTCCATTGGCTACACGTAAACTTCAGAGTGAAGTTTAAAATTCTGATCTTTGTTTTTAAGGTTCTGAATGGTCTGGCACCGGATTACCTGTCCGACCTTGTGGCTCGTTATGTGCCAAACCGGGCATTGAGATCTGCCGATTGCTTGCTGCTTCACATTCCCACCATGAAATACAAAACGCAGGGGCAGCGTGCTTTTGTCTACGCTGCTCCGTCCCTCTGGGCTGACACCACCCCTTCCCCGTTACAAGTCACTGCTTAAGGCCCACTTATACAACCAGGCATTTTTAAACCCTTGACTTTTATTAATTATTTTTATTATGTATTCTTTTATTGACTGTGATTTAACTGATTTGATGTGTACTTTTATTATTGTGTTTTTGGTTTTATGTTGTGTTTTACTTTTCATCTGTACAGCACTTTAGTTTGCTGCCATGCCGTTTTTAAAAGTGCTTTATAAATAAAGTTGGTATGATATGGTAGGGTCTTTAGACAAGACCTTGGGATCAGAACAGGGACTAGGAGCTAGATCTCAAATTTCTGACAGGAGTGTACATGGTCAGTCGATCGTCTATGTAGGGTGGGGCTAGGCCTTGGAGAGACAAACAGCAGTACTTTAAACTGGTTGTTGTAACGTAGGGGAAGCTAGTGAAGGGAACCTATGGGGTGCCATTTGTAAAGTCAAACAGTCATAATCTAACAGCAATATTTTTGGTTATTTAGCATATCACAAGAGAAAAAATTGTGAGTTCACGTTTTTGAAGTCATATTTTCACCATGTTATTCATACATTTATAAATGTTAAAGTTTCCAAATACATATTTAGTTAGCAAGCTAAATATTTAATTTGTAGTTAAATATTTATTTTGCAAACTAAATATTTAGGTCTGCTCCAAATATTTAGTTTGTAAAATAAATATTTAATTCACTAACTAAATATTTAATTTACTAATTAAATATTTATTTTGGAACTAAATATTTAATTTGTAAATTAAATATTTATTTTCCGAAATAAATATTTAGATCCCAGCTAAATATTTATTTTGGAGCTAAACATTTAGTTTGCAAAATCAGTATTTGAGAAATAAATATTTAAGTCTGACCCAAAAATATAAAATATAGTGTGGAGCTAAATAACATTGTGGAAAATAAATATTTAGCTGGTACTTAAACATTTAGCTAATAGGCAGATTCGCTTGCCAATAAGCGGAAGTTGGTTACCAAAATAAATGCTGGATCTCGCTAACTTCTTTCTAAACTCTTGCTACGAACCAGAACTTGTTTTATCTCCGGTTCTATTCTTCTGAACATGTCCGACGTGTTGGAGTTCAGGAAGCGCTCCTTTAGAAAAGTTCTTTAAAAAATGTGTTAACTGGGATTTAATAAAAAACAAACTAGAGTTTTATTTTTAATTCAGCATCTTTAAAACTCGAGACAAAAAGTTTTAAATGAAAAGACAAAATTTTCCTGTAAAACCAGAACTTTCTCATATTGGTACAAACATTTAACATCCACACACACAGTCTGATGAGAAAGTCCTTCTTTAAAGGCAGAGAAGTTTCGTTGTTGTTTAGAATATGTGTGGGACTGCAGGGCTGAATAAAAACCACAGGAGTCCCATCAGTCATGCACGATGCTCAGAAGACCTCTCAGCTTCCTTCTGCAGGCCAGCTCTTCCTCTTGACTCGAGGACATCTGTCTCTCCAGATCCTTCAGTCTCCATGTCAGAGACACGGGACGAGTCCCGGACCAAGTTGCTCCATCCAAATGCTCATTACGCTCTGACCTCTGGGGACAAAAATAAAAGAAGTGTTGCCCATGTAACTTCTGATCCAGCCAGCTTCGCTCTTGTGATCTTTTCATTTGGTCTGACTGGCACAAAACCAACTTTCAGTCCATTTCTCGTACCAGAACCCGGATCATCCTAAGAGCTATTAGCTAAAAACTTTTCACTGTGTACATTTTGCTCTGTAAGACAACTGGACTGATTGTTGTGATTCAGTGTGACGTTGCCTACATCATCAAGGTTTTACAGGAACAAAGTATTACCCACCTCGAATTTATTCTACGCCTGATCTATTCTGATTACTTAATAATTAACCCTGTCCAGGCAGTGTTGGGATACCTGAGTGAGAGCAGCCGGTCCAGTCTTGCCTGTGGGCGTACACCTTATGGTTGCCGGTGTGGACAGCAGGATGGAGGACGGAATGAAAAGCGGCGTGGACAGATGATCCAACGGCTCGCCAGTCACCCACTGCTGCAGCTTCTCCATGCTCCTGCAGAGAGGAAGTTTAGTGTATCTGACCCGCTGATTGTGAGGAGACAAATACTGAAAACATGTAGACATCTTTCTGAAGACATGAGAAGTTGGAGCTAAAATATTTCCTGTAAATGATTAAAAATTTTTACACATCAGAAATTTAGGGGTCCAGTTTTAATTTGGTTCTTTACAGTTCTAAAAATGGCGCTGAAACAAAGCCAAAGACACCAGAGCAACATTCCCAACATCCGTGTTGATAACTGCGGTGAGCTGACCAAACACCTGCAGGGTCATCTGGATCTGAACCGGACTCCTTTAATCGCTCACGGTGTGATTGGCTGTTGTGTGGTAGCAGCTTTGGCGGTTGTAGGGCTCTAGAAGATGCTATAGGAATACATTTATCATAAAAGGGTTCCTTCTAGGGGCCAAATTGGCCCACAGATGTTTTAAGGTGAATATTTTATTTATAGAGCACCACGTTCTTACCAAGGAGGTGGCTTTTCATCACCTCAGATTCATTCCTGCCCCTGCTGGGCTCTGCCTATTCTTGTGCTAAGATTTAAATTGGAAATAGTTTTATTTATGTAAAAGAAATCATTTGCCTTCAATGTTCTTCTTGGTATTAAATGTATAAAATGAGAAAAAGAAACAAGCTGGTAAACACCCAGAAGGATAAACAAGTTCATAAACTTCTTCTGTTGTGTCTGTGAATCAGAAGTCCAGCAGCAGAGCTGCAGCGGTACCTCCTGCTCTCGGCCCGTTCACGCTCCATGTTCTGAAGGACTTTGTGAGCCAGCTGCTCTTCTGTTGTGGGGGTGTGTGTGATGTCCAGAGGAGTGGGGGATGACTCCGCAGGCTCCACCAAACTGTGGAACAACCTCTGTCTGAGAGTCGGACCAGCCGGCGGAGCATGGGCAGCTTCAGCATCCCTGAAAGAGGCAGGCAGAGATCAAGATGACACCAACACACTCATACTGAGCAACATGTATAAATTAATTCATAAACAATCGTTTACTGGAAGGAATCTTATAGAATTAGACAAACAACAGATTTAGTGTTTTTCTTTCCTTTTATTTTCCACCGTCCTCCCACCAACACCCAGAAACCTGACAAACCTTCAGTTTGCTTCTTGGTTTCATATTTTAACACTGTGTGGCGCTACGACAGTGAAGATGACCACTAACATTTAACTCTCCGGAGATTGGCACTTATCTCCCACTTTAACTTGTCAAAAACAAACGTGTCCAAGAGAGCAGTGGAAATAATTCAGACGTCATCGTCTCTAATCTCCTCCTCGCTGTCGAACACTGATAGTGATGGAGGTTCTAAAAACTAACAATATTCATGTTGAAAGAACATCTTGACCATGCTGAAGAGCATTTCTGTGTAAAAGTTCATTCTTATCTCGCTTCCCGAACAGCCTCTGTTCACAGAAATAAAGTCTATGCCCTTCAGGACCGACTAGCTAACAGCTCGTCTGGGTGAAGAACCAGTGAGTTGCTGCCGTCTTAAAACTGCTCCAGTTTCCTAAGTTTCAGAGAAGTTTATGTTACATTATTTTAGGAACTTTTACACCTCGCTCTGACTAGCCGTTAGCTCATCAGTCCTGAAGACAGGCTGTTCAGGAAGCTATCAACGGGCTGAGATGGGAATTATTTCAGGTTCCTTGCAGTAAAACAAAGTTCTGATTTTGACTTTTCAAAACTCTCCAGGATCAGTAATTGTACCCATGCCTCTGCCTCTGCTTCTCCTCCATGTGTGTTTGCTCAACGGCCCGTGTCCACCCCTCAGGTGGTTGGAAACCTTCTAGTGAACCTTCAGGGAAGTAAACCAGGATCTCTCCATCATCTGTCACAGCATCTTGAAGAGGGACAAAAAGCAAAGTTGAGGTGTTTTGAGTGTGAAGCCAGTAAGAAGCAGAACATGAATGAATGAAGCTGACCTTCACAGACCGGTGGTCCTGGCAGCAGCCAGTCCTTCAGTTTATGGTCTACAAAGACCAACACCACATCATCCCATGGAACCTGGCTGAAAGCATCGTAGTCGGCATTTCCACACCTTCCCTTGGTTTTGGAGGCTTGGGCTCGCTGAGCCTTTACTCTGACTCGTTCAAACAGGTTCATCAGGTGTGACACGAGGACAGGTTGACTACGACGGGACGTGGTGATTTTAGAGGCGTAACAAAAGATGGAGGAGCACAGATCCGACCACATGTCTGGATTGAAAGAGTGGGTCACAAATAAATATCTTTCTCTCCTCTTTAATCCAAGCTCTATCTGAGGCACTAACCTGTTGCTGGAAGCTCCTCCCACTCAGGTAACTGCAAGCTGAGGATGGCTTCACGCAGCCAGGCCAGGTGTTGAACAGAATTCCAGCCCAGGTGAGGCACAAACTCCCTGGTTTCAGGCAGACTGAACTCAGCGGGAGGCCATGACAGTCTGCAGAGATCCTGGGAGGCCACGGTATTAGCGACGTGATCCAGGACGGCGTTGTACAGCTGGATGACGGGCGCCGGCTCCTGGAGCAGAAGCTGTGCAGCGGCTCGGTTCTGACGGTTGGCGTAAACTCTGGGACAGAACTCACGACTCAAACTGGCCTCGATCAGCTGCGCCAGGGTTTGACAACGGAACGGGAAGTGTGGTGGAGCACGAGGCAGCAACCAGCGTACAGCCTGGGTTAGCTGGAGACGGGGAGGACAAAAGGTCAAAGGTCAGAGAGAACAGCTGAAAGTACATAAACACGGAAAAGACAAGTTAATCCCATGATTCAATTTTTTGAGAACTTTTATTTGGTCTTCTGCTTCCACAACCTTCATCCAGAACCGTTTCAAAGTTAGAAAACGGACTAAACTCGTTTCTCTAAACACAACAAAGAATCAAAAGAATAAAACCATTACAGCTGCCAACATGTGTTCAAGGCTGGTGCCGGGTTTTATCGGTACCTGTTTGGATCCCTGCAGATCATTTGTTGTCTCTGGTATGAAGAACAGCATGTACTCCGATATTAGCTCCTCTTTAACCAGCGTGCGTAGCTTCAAGGCTAAGAGATCAGAGGAACCGTTCACACCAAAGGAAAACAGATTCGTGCTGATTCACAGCACAGAAATATCCACCATTACAAGTTAAAATTGTTTTCCAGCAGTAGTTCAGTACCTTCCTCCAGGTCGGGAGCTACACTGGCATCTTGGCAGCCCGGTACCAGAAGCACCAGAGGCAGAGGACAGAACCAGCTGCTGGCTTGCTGCAGCTGTTTAAGCTGAAGCAAAGCAGACAGCAGAGGAACATCCCGGTCCTCCTGACCCACTTCCACTACCGGCTGAGCGGGAAGCAGCATGATGATGGCTTTTGTGCCCTGAAGCTCAGGGAACTCCTCCAATCTGGACAAGCCGGGTTCGGACAGCGGACCTCGACACGCCTGAAAGACGTAACATGAACCTGCTCAGGAGGTGCAGCTTCACACACACCCAAAGAACAACTTTAAACAACAAGTAAACACATTTCTTTAAATAATTCACAGAAACAAAAAGTAACACGATAAAGATGCATGTTGGACTGAAACAACAAAGCTCCCAGGCCTGAAGTTGAACACGTTTTACCTCCAGCCTGCATCAGCAGCACAGAGCCTCCGGACAAACTCACACTCAGGCCCCGACGGCGAATCCTACCTTCAATGTGATGTGGACTTTATGAGTTCTCTGTCCATTCTCCTGCAGTGTGTTGGAGACACAAAGTGTCCTCATGGTGCCGTCCCGCGGCTCCTCCAAGCCTCCATCTCCTCCGAGTTTCACCTCCATCCAGTCTGATAGAACCCTGGAAGAACACAGCCAACACCAGCCCGACATGTCGGAGGAAACGTGAGGTTGGACCCATGCAGTAAAACATCTGGTGTCTTCTCACCTGTCGGCCAGGCTGGCTACACTTTCATCATCGCTAGGCAGGAGGACCAGAGCTTTCCAGAAGATGCGATCAGGTGGGTTTGGGATATTTTCTGTCACAAGTGCTGGCAGATCAAGTGGTTCCCACACTGCCTCTCTGAGGAAATCATCACAGACTCGTCAAACTGCGGTTTCCTGGCAAAGCCTCTAACCCAGTGGACTCAGGACTTACTCCAGCAGCTGCTGATAGAAGGAGTGGACTCTCATCTGATGCATTGCTCCTTCTCTCATCCTCAACAACCTGAAAAAGGTAGAAAATGTTTCACGGCTTGTCAAGATCCGTAAACTAGAAAGAAATAAGAGGCGAACGTACTTGGTGCTGGACACTGCCAACACGCCAGCGTTTCCCAGTCGGACCAGACCTTGAGCCAGATCCTGTATGGAGGGCTGAGCAGGAGCGCTGGGAACCAGGGCCTTCAGTTTAAAACGGGGATCAACGCAGCAAGGAGCTGCAGGGAACTCTCTCATCTGTCTCTTCAGCTGGCGGCGAACGGTAACCACATCACGCCACCTGGTGCAAAGCCAGACCACTCAGCTTACCACGTCTAGGTCAAATATAGCTGTCCAGGGGTTCGTTCTGCAGATTTTAACCTTTTGATGTATTTGTGGATACGTTCCAGCTCAGCTTCGAGGAAGTCTTCAGCCAGCAGAGAAATGGCTGTAGCCAACGTCTCCTCCATTAGACTGCAGCAGACCTGCTCAGAGCATTGAGCCAAACGTTCCGCTTCCTCGTTCACCGCCTCCCTGATAATAAAAAGTTCAGATCAGCGTTCTGGTTCAGGCATAAATATTTAAAATCCTTCTGTTAAAGAGAAACCCACAAAAGTCACGGAAATATCCCAAAACTAAGGAAAGTGTGATTAAGTAAAGAAGAGCATCAAGCAAAGCTTTTACTGGATCTGAGACGCTGCGGACTGCTGTATGGTCTCATCCAGCACTTCATGGATGATCTGTGTGCAGAGCCAACAGCTGAACTGAGCCAGAAATGCCTCGTGCTCCTGCCTCCTCCTACAGAAGAATAAACACAACAGCGTTTATTGATCCTGCAGAAGTTGGTTTCATCTTAAGCTCGTCAGAAAAGGCGTTTTCTACACCAACCTTGCCACTTCAAGTCTGCGTTTCTCCTCAACGACACGCTCTTGTTCCATTTTGATCTCGTTGGACGATATGTCCTGCAACATCTGTCCCAGCACCTCCCTCACCAGAGCCTCCACCTGCACGCTGCTCTCCCTGCAGAAGCAGAAGGTAAAATCATCCAAGATGTCTTCATGGCCTCCAATGCAGCGCGAGCGGATGTGAGCTTACGAGAGAGCCTCTGTGACGTAGCTTGCTCCAGCATCAGCTACAGCTTTCACCTCTGCTTCAACCACTTCGTCTAGAACAGAGTCCATCGCTGCCACCATGTCCTGAAGAGGACAGAAACGTGAGCAGAATGCAAACAAACAAGTTCAGAGCAGAAAGCAGCTTGGCGATGCCTCCCACCTCGTCGCTGTACAGCGGCTGAGGAGGTTTGGGTGGGGGCGATGGAGGTTCGACAGGCTCATGCTGGAACTGCGAGGCCTCAGGGTGATACGGTTGTCTTGGTTCATCTGGAACAGCGGGAAGCGGCTCAAACACTGCAGAAACATCTGGACCAAGCTGAGTGGACAGATCAACAGCTGGTAGGGCTGGAGCGTCCGCGCTGCTGCCTGAAACAAAAACGGGTTTGGTTAACGGCTTTACCGACACAAGAAGCAGAAATCTGGTAAACCATCACACCTTTAATGTAGCTGGATGTGGACTCAGCCAGCTTCCCATCTCCACTGTATTTATTCTGAGAGTCAAAGCTACAGATGGGGGTGTGCTGCGGGGGGTTGGGGAGGGGGCCTCCATTCACCACCTGTCCAGTTAATACCGTCTTCTTAGAGAGAATGACCTCTGACATCTTCTGAGACCGGGGCAGTTCTGGCTCCTGAAAAGCTATCCGGCTCAGTTCCACCATCCTGCACAGTTTAAACTATGTTATTTTGCCTTTTTTAAATCCAAACATGTATTTTATGGGTCAATGTGTCAAAACGGTGGAGAAATCTTTATGGCATTTAGTTCAGCAGCAACGAGCTTTACCCGTCGTTGACCACGAGCCCGTACTGCTGCACGAAGTCGGTCCCTTCAGTTGCATCTCGGAACATCAACATCCGGACAACATCCTCTATCGGGAATGCGGTAGATCGAGGACCCACAGTGTGAGCCATGTTCAGGGCCTTCAGTGCCTTCGCTCTGACCTACACACACACACACACACACACACACACACACACACACACACACACACACACACACACACACACACACACACACACACACACACACACACACACACACACACACACACACACACACACACACACACACACACACACACACACACACACACACACACACACACACACACACACACACACACACACACACACACACACACAAGATGGAGCGTTTAACACCAACAACATTCAGACACCAGAAAGAAAAGAGCTGAAGCTTTCTCACCTGGCTGAAGTATCTGTGCAGGAGGCAGCTGGAGAGATAAGAAGCTCTCTTCACCAGCTTGAAGAAGCGAACAAAGTTGTTGCTGTTGACGGCAGCGAACGCTTGAACTGCAAACGTCACCTCCGGTGAGTTTCGCACCTCCCCTCGGAACTGCTGCACCTCTCTGCAGAGATGAAGGGTTTTAATCACAGACACAGTCCGTAATAAACGCTGTCAACTAAAATCAGGATTCATTTCTTGATGTTTTCCTTCCAAGCAGAAAGATTTTCTTGTAATCTTGATGAATAATTCTCCACTTTCAGACAGGGGCGCCTCCAGAAAACTTTGATGGGGTGGCCGGATGGGGTCAAACAAATGTTTGGGGTGGCACACCAAACTGAACCTTGTGGTAACTCTGCCATGAGAAGCTACCTGAGGACGTCTCCATCGTTGAGCCTCAGCAGAACGCTGTACTGGCGGAACTCGGCCTCTTGGGGGCAGAAGATCTGCTCAGCTGCCAGGTCATGGTACATTTCTTTGAGACTCTGCAGGCACTTCGTCATGTTCTCATTGTTGATTTTAGCATCAAAAGACAACATGGGCTGCTCACAGAGCTGGTGGGCGCAGTGCACGTGGAAGCGTGTGCACTTCTCTATCAGTGACACCGTTTGGGGACAACAGAGACGCTGCTGGGTGATGTCCTGAAGGTGCAACACAAGAATCAGACTGAAACATGCACCTGTGAGGCCACGCTGGGAAAAACACACAATGGTTGTAAGAAGGAAGAGATTTGTTTGTCATCCTTACCTTGCGAATCCCTCGTGTTCTATTCCACACAAAGTCATACCAGTCACGGTAGTTGTTCTGCACCTCATCCATGATCTGAGTCACCAGGTAGTCCATGGTCATGCTCAGCACAGGCAGGGGACGCAGCTCGTGCGGGAGGGGCTCCTCTTGGTCTGCCGAGGAGCGACTGTACTCCTTTATAGCAGCGGCGTGATCCACCTGGTGGAGGCAGGAGAGTTTGGGTCTCTAGACACAACCGTTGCTGTCCATATGCATCTGTGCACTTAGACCTTCAATGTACCGTCCAAGGAATAACAGAAACCTTAAGAAGCACATGTACATGTTCCCCAGTTCAATTGTAGGAGAGATTTCCATATTTAGCCTCTACAGAACAGAAAAGCTTTAAAACATTCAAAGGGTTTGGCATCAAGTCTCGGTGTCCTTGATGTTAGAACGTCTTCATAAGGGAGAAAAAACTGTTGCTTTCAAGCCTCATTTCCACAGAGCGGTTTGGCGTGGAACGGGGCGGATCGGCTCGCTAATTCATCTGTCCCCATTGTAAACCGGTCCAGAAAACCCAACCCAACTGAACCGGGCAAGTCACGGCTTTTTGGGCCCCCTTCTGTTGAAGGTCCAGACACTTCTGAAGCGGCCCGGTTAGGGCGACGCAACAACACAGTCCACTGACTAGGGGACAGAAATACGTCACTACATGCAACAAGCAAACTAACGGAGTGCTGTTGTTTGTATTTTCCATAGTTGTACATAAATGTGAAAAACTGCCTGCAAGTAGCAGCAAATTTTGGTCATCGCCATATCTCCATACATTCCTCGCCATCACTGTGAGAGTTCACTCATGAGGAGCTAGAGGGATCGCCAAGTTATTTTTCTCAGCGGATGGCAGCCGAAGGATCCGAGCGGGTGTGACAACGGTGTCGGGCCAAGCTGAAGAAAATAAAACCCAACATCGAAAAGTTACGAACCGAAACAGCCAAAGTGGAAATACACAAAGGTGCTGGATGCTATTTATAGCCACAGAAGGCAAACCGAGGCAGCCAGGCAGACCTGGACTCAGCATTCTGGAGTCACTTGGGGAGTCTGTCGGTTTGTCTTCATCTCAGCAGATGCTCAGCAGCACAAATACACAGAATAGTTGCATATGTTCTTTGTGAAATCACTCACGACAGTTCGTTTAACCCCGCCTGCCAACACGAGAGCCCAAACTGCAAAAGAAACGCTCTCCTGAAACTGCAGACCTATACCAGTACACGCTGGTCCACAATAACCTGTTCTGCTCTGTTGCCAAACCCTGCAGATGGATCTGAGGCTCAACGGTTTTTATGTTGCAGCCTGACATGCAGGAACGAAGGGCTAAATATAAGTACAGCCGATGGAGCACAGCAGATGTGCTTCGGCTTGGTATGAAGAAGTCGAACGTGCCTCAGCTCTGTCAGATTTGCAGTTGATAAAATAAAAATTGAAATGATTACCATTTCTGTTTCTGGGATGACCTCGAACACACTCAGCTGGTTCCGGGTTTCCCTCATGTACCGTTCCTTCTCTGGACACATGTCGGGACATGTCCCCACAAAGACTTTTGACAAATCCAGATCTGTGCGCTTGGGCCGAACTGTGAAGACACAGACGTGACTGAATTTTGTCCTGTTTCCAAATGGCACCGAGATTACACAAGAGCCCAGCCTCACCTTGACGGAGGATCTTGTCTCTTTGCTCCAGGAGACGATACTTGTCCTCAGCGGTCTCAGCCGTCTGACCGAGGAGGTGAACAAGAGACGAAGGCACGGGACAGCCTGAGCTTTGGGACTCAGAAGTGCTGTCCTTCGGTGGCTCTGTGTCAAACTGCAGGAGCTTGACTGGATAAGGTTTCTTCTTTGGAGAGCTGGAATGGAAACAAAAAGCCTCAACAGTGCAGGAGCAATCTCATTAAACGATGAAACCATACCGAAAGCTTTAAGCTGAAGTACCTGTGACGGAGCACGATGGAGCCGCTAAGGGCGGGGGGCATCAGTGTGGGCTTCCTGAGTGGGGAAGAAGCAGCCTTGGACTCCATGACTTCCTGATTAATCGCTTCAGCTTCTTTCTGTCCTCCATCAGGTGTTCTCCCGGTTTCATCCGGACCTGATCCAGCAGAACAAACCTCAGATGAACAGAAACTAAACGTGGGAGTGTCTGGACTTTAACTGGGCCATTGCAGCATCTGGTTGCTAAAACTTAAAAATAGATGTGTCACATTTACTTTGCTTCTTTTTTTGCCACAGGAGCAGCAGCTCGTGTCGGTGCAGCATTTTTCCTTTCTTCTTTGCTTTCACCGCTGTAGTCTGACAGGAAAGTCAACAAAGAAAACCAAACGTATAGAATTCAGTTACACCACAGATGCATGTCATCATCTCAAGTATGTTGGAAAAGCAGCAGCAACACAAAGTCTTTTAAGATCAAGCAGACCAAATCAGCACAGATCCAACAGAGCCTTCAAATTTAAAACAGGAGTGAAGAGAAACCAAACTACAGCCTGAAAGACACCGTAGAACTTAAACTAGAAGGAAATCTTGCATTTTTGCATTAAGTAAAATCAACTTACATGATCATCAAAGTGAACTATTGCCACATCTTTAGCAGGTCGACAGAAGATCCTACAGACTTTCCCAAAACGACTAAAATGCTTCTCAAGCACGTCCTTTTTGTTGAGAGCCCGAGGCACGTTTCTGCACATGATGGAGGTGAAGTCATGTGGGGACATGCCGCTCAGGCTGTCCAGACTGTCCCTGCGTGGACCGCAGGTCACAGGGGTCAGCGCCTCGGATTCTGCACTCCGAGTTACGCTTGAATCTAGAGGTTAACAGCATGACATGAAAAAGTCTTCTGAGTCAAAACTGACTTTTTAAAATTGTGTCTTCATGCAACTTTGATGTGGAGCGCAAGAAAAAACAAGTTTTGTTTTTATTTTTAAAAAACAAGTATTACTTATTCAGATCATTGCTGGTGTTTAATGTGAAACTCTGTGACATAAAGAATCAAACAATAAAATATTCATCTGAACCCAAACCTCCTTTCATGTTGAAATGATCTGCAAGTCTCACCTGAAGCTTCAGCCTTTTCCACGGCATCTCTCAGTAACGTCTGTTTCATGGGAGGTGCCGCAGGTTGCCCAACACCTCGAGTTTCTTCACCCTCTTCGTTTGGTGCCAGCTTCTGGGTCTCCTTCGTGGTGTCCCGTTTTACTACGTTTGCTTGATCTCCACAGATGCTTTTGAGCGCTCTACTGAACAGGCCTCCGGGATGGCCACGGGACCGGATCAGAGGCCTCTTTGAGGGATGCCGTGGTGAATCTCTTTCAGATGAGGCGTCGTCTTCTGCTGATGGCTTCTCTACAGCCAAGCTCGAGACCATTGCATCATCTTTCCTCTTGGGGGCCTTGCCAAGTCGAGCAAAAATGTTTCCCTCCTCTTTACCAATAAAGTTGCTTTCTTTGTTATCTGAGCTACTCTCAACTTTAGCTGTGTTGTCTCGAAAGGTTGGAGGTTGACCAAAACTCGTTGCTCCTAAGAAAGGTGCGGGCTGAGCCTGGAGGGTTTTGGCTGTGAAGCTGAAGGACGATGGGGTCGTGGGTTCTGCAGTGGAAGATGAAGTGTTTGAGCTGGATGGGGAAGCTGGCTGGGAGAAGACAAATGAAGGAGAGTTGGTTGCACCAGTGCTAGTGGTCATTGTTTGTGGGTTGTTTAGAGAGGAAACAGACAGCGCTGCAGGCTGTGTGAATCTGAAGCCCAGAGGTCCAGACTTGGCCCCAGCCAACACAGGAAAGCCACGGGAATTGGTCTTGGACCCACTGCCACCAAAAGATGAGTTGGACATTGTAGTAATTGGAAGGTTAGCTGATTCTGGGCTAGCACTGAAGATGGGTTTAAAAACAGCCTCGTTGGCTGGCTTAAAACAGAACTCAGACAATCCATGTTTTCTGCTTTGGGTCACATTCTGAGAACCTCCAAAAACAGTGGTGGAGGACGGCTGTCCAAATGGAAGTTGTCCAAAATTAACGGTGGAGCTGGCAGATGTCTGAGAGTCCCCGTAAGTCGGTGGAGGCTTACCAAACCCTGAAGCTGGTCCAAATGCAGAAGGCAGTCCAAAGACAGGTGTCTGCCCAAAAGGATTCTGGTTCGGCCCACTAGCCTGTCCAAAAGTTTTAGTCTGGTTCTGTCCACCAGTCTGTCCAAAAGCTGGAGTCTGGTTCTGTCCACTGGTTTGTCCAAAAGCTGGAGTCTGGTTCTGTCCACTGGTTTGTCCAAAAGCTGGAGTCTGGTTCTGTCCGGCCTGTCCAAAAGTTGAAATTGGATTCGGACCACTGGTCTGTCCAAACGCCAGTGCTGTGCTGCTAACAAACCCAGAGCCTCCCTTTCCGAGAGGCGGTTGTCCAAACGCTGGAGCCGTGCTCATCGTGGGCTGTCCGAATATGGAACCACTATGTGCTGCAGGCGGGTTCGTCTGTCCGAAAGCAGGTTGTTGAAAAAAGCCAAAATTCTGGCTCGGAGTTTCGGAACTCTGAGGTCCAAACGTCTGAAACAGGCTGGGCTTCGTGGAGCTGTTTGGGGCTTGGAAAGCTCCGCGGGGACTACCGAACGGGTTGGACTGATTCATGACGCGTATATTTGAGTAGATCTACAAAATATTGTTAGTTGAAACAAAATGTATCAAAATATCTAAAGCTTGTAGCAAGATTTTAAGTTAAAACATTAATATGAGTAATTCTGCTTTAGCGTCGGCTAACAAGTATAAACGAAGAAGTCAGTTTTTCCACTTTTTGAGTTATTATTCTCTAAGATATTGAAAAATATCCATTTCAGCGCTCAAACCTCAACTTTCAAATCCATAGTCATCATATATAAATATATATGTCCAACTCGACTTGTTTTCTTTTGGATTGTTCGGTTACCCTTTCGCTCATTTCCGGTTCAGGTCCGACAGAGTTCTCGGTCCCCGTTTATTTTTATATTGAGTTCCGTGATTTAACAGTACATCGTTATTGGTAAGCACTAATTTCTCTAGTTAAATAAATGTTTTTTTTATCAATAACGTTATAAATACACAACCTGTTTGCTTGGTTTTGAGGACTTGTGATTTTGGTGACGAAGCTGAAGTCGGTTTGCGAATCGAAAGGCAGTTTCACGCGTTCTATCGGTTCTATCTGATGGTTCTATCTGATGGTTCTATAGCTATGGACTGCGTGGGTCCAAAAGAGGAATCGCAACTGAACTTCGGCGTCGAGTGTCACCTTGAATTCTGCCGGGTGTGAACCTGAACGAACAACTGACGCTAACAGAAAAGAGACAGCCACGGATTTAGTTTGTATCTGCCGTCTGAGGTAGTTTAGCTTTACCCATGTGGTGACATTTTTTTCTAACAGCCCGTTCTCTTTTATTTCAGGTTGGAATGGGGGTAGTAATACGGAACCTCCAGAAGGTGGTACCTCTTCGCCGCTCCAGACTGCGCAAAGACGTGGACACTCTGAGGCACATTCTGGGCATCCAGAAATTCGATTTGGGCATCATTTGTGTCGACAACCATAAAATTCAGCAAATTAATAACATTTACAGGAAGAAAAATGTTCCTACTGATATTCTCTCGTTTCCATTCTATGAGGTAAAAGCGTATTTTATGGTCTACAGTGTGTTTATTAACCTTATCTTAGGAGACTTTTAGGAGATCTGTGTTTTTCAGGACCTGAGACCGGGGAAGCTGCCTTGTCCTCTCCACAGAGATGAGCTGAATCTAGGGGACATTTTCCTCGGTGTTGAGTTTGTGATGAAGCAATGTCGGGAAGAATCTGTAGATCTTCACGGTGCCCTTACTGTGAGTCTTGTGTTTTCATATCAATGTCACACGAGGAAAAGCAGAGGCGCCACTAAGGGAGATTGGGGCAATTGCCACCCTAATTGTGCTGTTTGTGCCTCCCAGGTTGGCAACCTGAATATTGTAGGGATGAATGTAGGAAATGTGTTCAGTATATGCAAGAAATGTAAATGCTGATGATCTGTTCTGATTAGATTTTTTTAAACCTTCAGATCATGATTTCATTTCCCTACTCGAAAGTAATCGTGTTGATTTGTTACATTTGTGTGTTAGTGTCTACCTGAGGAGTGGGTCAAACACAATATCTAATACCCAACCTCATAGCAGGTTACGCAGATTTGTACACCCCGTTTTAAGCTGTTCTGACCAGCATCCATTTTTGCATACCTGTAAAATTTTGTCTTTTTTGGACCATTGTAGCAGGATTTTTCACATCTTTGTAGAAGGAACAATATATACAGGGTGAGGACCCAGAGTCGCACTGAATTTCTCACAGGTCCCATCTTTTCCAGTCTTGGGTTTTTCAGGCACATACCTCACTCATGATCCAATTTTCTCAGGTCTGCAAGGATAATTCTGTTTTGTTTTTACCTTTCTGTTCAGATTCAGACCAATACTGACTTTATCATCAGACCTACTGATGCAATGAGACTACCAGGAAACTTTCTGTAGAAATCATGTCCTCCACCTCCTTGCTCAGTTACCAGATATGCAGTCCCTGATCACCATTTGTGTCCTGGTCCAATAAAACAAGATCCTAACTAGAGCACCTGAACCACCTCTGTGGACTCACTTGCTCATGACTCCCATCTCCTCAGCCTACTAAAATAGTTTCTGCTGTTTTTTTTTTTTTTTTTTTTTGCCTTTTCGGTGCAAGGTGTAATTTTTTTATTTAGAGTATTTCACTAGTTACTCATGCCTGCCTTTATGAAAATGTACACTGATGTAAACATGATTGTTTCTCGTCTCAGGTGGTTACCGCACATGGGATCTGCCATCTGTTGGGCTACAGACACGAGACGGACGAGGAATGGGCAGAGGTCTGTTCAAAGCTTACAGTTATTGAAACATTTTAACGTAAAACAAAGGCATTTCCTGTAATCAGCATGTCAGGTGTTACATATAAACAGTGTGTAACTTAAGGTCTGATGCTCTTCCAGATGCTGCAGAGGGAGAGCTACATCCTCAGTGAGTTCAGTCGACTCACGGGCCAACAGCTGGAACCGCTGATGAAGAGATGCGGTGAAGAAACGTGACGGGGACCATAATCTGCACACCTCACAGCAGCAGTAATGCTTTTGCACTTTCCTAAAGGAAATTCTTTATTATTATTTTAAATCCAACGTGAAAGGAGACTACTGTCTTAATTACATTTGCTGGGATCAGAGGATTCACTGAAAATCACATAAGGGGTTAAACAAGTTAAAGATCAAAGAGTCCTGTCTTTCACTACACTTTTTTATTAAAATCTGCTTTAGGAAGAGCCAGTTGTGTCTGAAGGGTAGAAAAACAGTTCACTCACTTCATAAATACATTTCACCCTCGTTACACAGCACTCAGGACAGCGCAAGGTCCAAAAAATAATTCAACAGAAACTTCCACCATGCGACAGGACACCCATGGAGTCAGCTGATAAATGTTCACTTTAATATCCACATACACAGGCCTGCCAGACTTCATTTACACTGAGTTAAATAGTATTTTATTCATTCTAAATGATGTAAATGATTAAATAATCTCTTGGTGAATTGTGACTGGTGTGTAAATGTTATTTAATTTTTTACAGTGTATAAAACAGACCTATTGTCTACTTCTATAATGATATTTAAAAGGAAATCTGACAGCAACAGTTTGCCAGGACCTACAGTTAAATACTGTGAAATAATGGGAACATAAATAGTTGCTCTGGTATTAATCATGACTTCCATTTTCTAATGAACTATTTTCAGCTAATTTAGACAAATTAAGTCTATGCTGCAAATACTATATTTAAAAGTCTGTTGGCTTTATATTTATAAATGGAACATCTGACTCACAAGCATTCAGAAGGAAGGTTTTGCACCATTCAAAGTAAAGCTTGTACATATATTTATAGAGGTTGTCTTAGGAGGCACAAAGTCAAAATCCCCAAAACAATCATTTGGGCTCAAATGAGAAAAGTTCACCTAACACTTTCCCTAAGGAAATCTTAAAATACGGAAGGAACCGCACGCACGTTGCAGGTCAAGCACAGAAAGCCACCAGGAAAGAACTAATTTCTATGACGAACTGATTTGAACTGGCCAGTTTGTGCCATAACCTAAATATTGCACCAAAAGTACCCAAATAAATACACCAACTGTCTAACTCTGACAGATTTGCTCCAACACAGGTCAAACCTTTTCTTTAGTTAGTTTATGTGAGAACTAGAGTCTGCACAACACCAGCGCTTTCTGGTGTTTGAACATTTTTATAGCGAAAGTCTGCTTTATAGAACAAACCTCAGACAGAAATACATTTACAAAACCAAAAAGAAAATACCTTTTAGACCCCTAAATCCTGGATCCCCTCTGAGACCTAACAGTTGTCACCTGCATTGGCATGAAGCCAGGTTTCATGCCAGAGATTAGGAAAAGTAGGCCTGGGAACCAGGAAGGCTGTTCACAGGAAAACTCATTTTATCAGAATGAGCGGTTGGTGATGGGGTGTTGGAAGATGTGGAGCTCATAGAGGCTGCAGGATGTTCTTTCCTGCCTCTGAACCGCTGCTGGATCCTGATCTCTCCATCTCAGACAACTGCTCAAACACATCTCTGAGTACACAAAATCATCATCAGGACATGTGATCAACTCCAGAATGGTTTCTCTCTCTTCTGAGTTAGAAAATAACTTCCCACAGTAACTTCAGCCCCAAACACCATTAAGGAAATTCAAATCTCAGGCATGTATTTGTATGTTTTGACAATAAAACAACTCACTTGTGCATGTAGAAGAAGATGTATCCACTGCGATCACGGTCTCGCTGCACGGCTGCTTCCTGTGTGTGTGACACATCCAGGTCATTGTAGGTCAGCCATGACTGTTTCTTCATGTCGTAGACGTCGCTGATATAATGTCCTAGGGTGAGGAAAATGTGTTTAGCTAAATAAATGAATAAAACAGGTAATGACCACCCAGTGGTAGTCTACATTAAATTACAATAAAGCTATAGGTACACACCTGAGGAGGAGTTGCTGCCAATGTGACTGACAACACTGATGAGTCTGTAGGAGTTAGCCAAGTCTCCAGTCTGTCAGTTAAAGAACAAGTCATAAATATTCAAACAAAGACTAAAGGTTAGGTCAGTGTTGAGCAGTCATTTTAATTTGAATTCATATAACAGCTGTAAACCATCAGCATTAGCAGTGAAAGTGTTAATGTCTGTCTGGTGCGTTTTAATCACTGGTCGGATATTAAAGCTACAACGGCAAATCTGCTAAACGAATAAGCTTAAAACCTTTTTTCACGCTTCTTAACAACCATTCTAACAAAGTATAGCAATAAGTATATTGTGGACGTAAAAATAAATGAATGAAATGGTTCTAAAAACCTCCACCAATAACACGTTTCAGACCGAAAGCCACTATTGGACCATACAGTAGCAGTGTTTCCCCTAGGAATTTTTCCAGCTGTGGCGGAGGGGGGGGGCTAGGGGAGAAGTTATGACACGTCTCTAAATAAAGTAAAAATTTTCTAGTGCAGAGTGGAGCCAACCCATAGAAGCACTGATTTGATCTCATTTCAGAGAAAAATAGAACAGGTTAGATGCACCGAATAAATAAAATTACTAACAAACTCAGGAATCTTTCTTTGCTTCACTGTTCTGGTGCTGAGAATATCACTAATGCGGGTCACAGGAGACACAGATGAATGCACCTCTTATTTATTATTTGGAGACTACATTTACTGCAGCTGGCAGAGGCAGACATTTTTTCTATTGATACACGAATTTACAGAATCATTTTAAATGTTAATAGGGGAAGACTGCAGGAGGGAGCGGTAAAATACAGGGGGTCCCCAGCAAAAACAAGAAACTTTACAAGTCTGATGAAACCCGCTGGTTTTCCATCAGGCAGTCACGGGGCAGCTCCAACGACCCAGTGGCTGTGCTGGGTCAATGTTATCGAGCTCAGTCCGGCTCGGCAGAGGGTGAACGAGCCGAGGCGACGTCGTGCTCTGCTTAAGAAGAGTTGTTATTTTCCCGCTTCAGAAGAAGCGTCCAACGTGTTTTTATGCTTTCTCCGAGACATGTCACGTCGCTAAGTTGTTAGCGCCGTGCGCTAACACGTCAATAGTGCAGCGTAGCCTGCTGGAGGTTTTAAGGGTTCAGATGAAACACCCGACCTCTCAGGCTGCTCACACATCGATCTTAAGTTGTCGCTGTTGCGCTCACGCCGTAATACAGTATTAGATGCGGTTAAAGTCAGACATGAAAAAATAAATAAATTTTACATGAATAAGTGATGATTAGCCTGGTGGGGGGAGGAAAATCTGGCAAGATCGTCAACATTCGTTTATCTTAATGCTGCTAAAACATGTAAACCAAAAAGCGTTATATCCACTGCTACCTTTCTAATTTTAAACTCAGTAACTTCACCTTGCCCTGCCTGCTCCTCCTTGCTGCCCGCCGGCTGTGATCACAAGCGACAACATAGTAGTTCCCGCTGCTTCTTCGGGAAACAGCGCAAAACAAATAAATAAATAAACTTGGGATTTCAGCCGTGGCGGCCCGCCACGGCTACGCCTTTGTAAGGGAAACCCTGCAGCAGTCTGTCTCACCGAACCATCACGCTTCCCTGGGTCCTCCACTCACGTATTTAGCACCAGAACACCACTGGTGTGAGAGGTTCTCCACTCAATAATATCAGAGGAGGAGCTGCTACCACTTCAACTTTAGGACAAACTACCGGAGTCCCAAAAAGAAAAACACCATTTGAAGTCACGGACAACAAAAAATGTCTGGACCTAGAAAATAACTGGTGTTTAGCGCTCTCTCGCTTCCTGTGGCAATGCAGGTTCTTATACCAGGGGGGTGTGGCCCAGGGATGATGGCCAATGGGAAGGGTGAGAGTTCCATGACGATGTTTGTATTTAAAAGCTAGCTTGTTTAGCAGATTTGTTACTGCAGCTTTAAAACATCAGGCAGCTGAATACCTCAGCATTCCTCTTCAGGCTCTCTGCCTCAGCTTCACTATACTCCATGTCTAGAATGTCCTCGTTCCCAGAATCCTCATCCGAGCAAAGCACCTCAGGAAGGGAGTTGCTGAATTCTGTTAGGTGAAATGAGAAGGTTCCCGTTTAAATCAACAAGCCCCACATGTGAAGAAACTGAGTAAAAATCAACGTGAAGCATGAACTCAAATTACAGTATTTTTTCCCCTCCCTGTTCAGACCTTTTGATTCTCTAACAGGTGGGTTGTGTGGCACGAGGATGTCGACATTCTGGGAAATGAATAGATGAACGTTCTTTTTCATACCTTGCAAACTGAGCTCAGTGGCTCTCTTCAGATCATCATCTTCTCTCAACTCTTGAGCTTCCTGCAATAGTTGAGATTCAAGAACAGTAAATAAATTATAAATGCACTTTGACTCGTGTCTGTTGGATGCCGATGGTCTGATTACTCGTCTATCACTCGTATTAAAATCATCCAGGGCATAAAGCAGATGTGACTTGGTTTTTGGTCTCACATGTTCCTGGAGGCTCTGGGCGAGGGCCTGCTGCAGCTCCTGTTCCTCCCTCTCCTGGTCCAGATTGTACTGTTGGACCCAGTCTAGCTCCCCCTGCTGTTGCAGACACTCTGGAGTCTGGTTTTCCTTGTTTTCATCCATGGTCAAGTCAAGGGAGTCCAGCACATCTGTACAAAACATGTAAATTAAAACCGCTGATGCATCAGCAGGTCCCCCCCCCCACTCACATTGGCCGCCGATGGCTGGACTGGTTTGTTTGGCTCCATGCCTTTCCTGGCTTTTGGCCTTTTCTCACTTTCTGCTGGCTACAGTGAGAGCTACTCAACAGAGATTCCCTGAAGTAAAGCATTGCCTGGACTTAAACCAAGTTTTACCTAACAGGTACAGGAAAAATGGCTATGTCGGGACATTTCTTCTCCGTCTGTGGCTTCTTATTGTTCCACCTGTTCAGAGCCTTAGCTTCAGTCTGGAAATGGATCAATCATCGACTCCTGCACATGGTAACTCTCTGAAGGACACACCAAGGCTGAATTTCTTTGGACATGGATATTTAGCAACTTATTCCATCTTCTGGCAAAAAGAACATTACAATGAGAAAGGAAGCAGACCAATTAAGCAAAACAAATGGCATGCTTACAATACTACACTGCTACTGCTAAGCGGGGATATACAGCTCAACCCAGGACCACTGGGTGCAGTGAACTCTGCTCTTTCTGCCTGCCCCCACTATGATCCAGCTGAGCTTGCAACTCTGCTACCTGGGCCTTTGCCACTGCCACCAGGGCCAACGCCATGGCTAGCTGGGTTTTCACCTTTGCTGGCTGGGCTTCCATCTCTGATGGCAGGGCCTTCACCATTGCAACCTGGGCCTTTACTATGGCTGGCTGGGCCTCCACCACTGCTGACTGGGCCAACACCACAGCTGGCTGGACCAACACCATGGCTGGGCCTCCACCACTGCTAGCTGGGCCTCCACCACTGCTAGCTGGGCCTCCACCACGGCAACCTGGGCAAACACAACTACTGGCTGGACCAACACCACGGCTGGGGCCCTTAAACCAGCTGGCTGGGTCCCCACCATTGCTGGCTGGACCAAGACCGCTCCTGGCTGGGCCACTAACAAACACGGAACTGACTGAAACAGCTGGTAAATGTCTACACAGACAGTTTCACATGAGTGCCAAAAGTCATTTAACCAACAGTGCAACTTTGAAACAGAGACAGTCAAGACTTTTTCAAACTGTGAACCATGCCCAAGTCATCTGGAATTTGGACACAAAACCCAATGGAATATTGGGAGGGCATATAAATGTTAGAAGCATACTACCAAAAATAGATCAGATACAGAACTTGCTTATGGAGTCTAATCTGGATTTCTTGCGTATGTCTGAAACTTGGTTGACTAGTAATATTCCTACTGACCTAATTAATATACCAAGATACGCATGCTACAGGGGGGGGGGGGTGTCTTAATTTACATTAGGGAGCAGTTTAAGGTTACAGAGCTCGATTTGGGTGTAAATTTGGAGTGCTTAGGATTGAGCATAATTCTCTCACCAACCATGAAATTTAGTATAGTCGTGCTTTATAATCCTCCATCTCATGATGTAAATTTCTATGATGAACTGAGAAATCTTTTGTCTGTTGTTGATGACTCTCATGAATGCATGCTGTTTGGGGACTTTAACATCAATTGGAAAGATAAAAAGGGTAAGGCAAAACTAAAGTTAACTATGGACAAATTTAAATACAAACAGCTGATTGACAGTCCTACACGAGTTACTAGAAAGAGTGAAACCCTTATAGACCTGATTTTCACAAACAGGCCAGAGAGAGTAACAAAAGTATACAATCTTATTACTGGTCTTTCAGATCATAATAGGATACTGGTCATAAGAAAGCTAACAAAAAAGCGTCTAGTTTATCATAACAAAACAGAAAATTATACTTTAACTACTGGAATTCCCACGTCAAAAATGGTTGACTTTGAACGTGATCTAAAGACAGCTAATTGGGACAGGGTAATCACAGAGCCTGATCCAGACCATAGTGTAAGCAGTTTTGTCTTGACCCTTCACGGTATAATTGGTAAGCACACAAGAACCTGGAAAAGAAAACCTAAGAAAAAGTCTCTTCCTTGGTTCAACAGTGATATCAGTCAGCTGATCAAAGAGCGAGATTTTGCTCTGAAAAGATCCTTAAGGACTAAAACCAGAACTGACCATTTAATTTACACTGGACTAAGAAATAAAGTAGTGTCTGAGCTGCAGAAAGCAAAGACTAATTATTTTAATAACCTGACTGAAGAGGCAAATGGCAACAGTTCTAAACTGTGGCAACATATAAACAGACTAACCAAGTCTGGCAAGCAAAAGCACCCAAAAATAAATAGCCTTAAAATATGTGATGAACTCATTAATAGTAATGAGTCAATTGCAAATGGTTTCAACAGTTTTTTTTAATCGAGTCTGTGAAAGATTTAGCCAGTCGTTTTAAATCAAATGACCCACCCTGTAACGAATGTGATAAGGATCACACCAACTTCTATATAAAAGAAGTATCCCAGGGTAAATTTAAAAAAATTATTGCAAACATGCGGATGTCCATGGCAAAGGATATCCATAACTTAAATACTACATTTATTAAGAAACATCACAGTTATATGTTGGAGCCAATCACAGATTTAGTAAACTTATCAATTCAAACAAAGAGATTCCCAGAAAGCTGGAAAACTGCAATAATTGCTCCAGTCTACAAATCGGGAGAAAAGGACTTGGCAAGTAACTACAGGCCTATTGCCATCCTCCCGATAGTCTCAAAAATCCTAGAAAAGATTGTAGCTGTGCAACTAATGGATCCAACCAACTGCTTTATTCACAGCAGTTTGGCTTTAGACAGAAATACTCCACAGAATCTGCAAATTGATATCTGCTTGAAAAGATCAAAACTTCTCTGGATAAAGGATGTGTTGTAGGGGCAGTGTTTCTGGATCTAAAAAAGGCGTTTGACACAGTTAACCACAGGGTCTTACTTAATAAACTAATGCAATTTAAAATATCACCTGAAGCTTTGAAATGGTTCAGTTCATACCTGGAGGGTAGACAGCAGTGTGGTAGGGTTAATGAGGTCAAGTCAAGTTTGCTTGCAAACAACATGGGTGTACCACAAGGATCCGTGCTTGGTCCATTGCTGTTTACAATGTACATTAATGACCTTCCGATGAGCTGCACAGGCATCAACTGCCAGATGTATGCTGATGACACCGTCATTTATGTGTTCACAAAAACACCTGGCCTGGCAGGAGAGCGCCTGACGCAGGCTTTATCAGACATCTCAGAATGGCTAGAGTCATCCCATCTAACTCTTAATGTTGACAAAAACGGTGTCCATATGCTTCTCCATGAGAAACAGGCCTGATCAGGAACTATTTCAGGTTAGGATTAAAGAGGAAATCATTGAAGTAAGGAGTGATGTGAAGTACCTTGGGATCATCCTAGACAAATACTTAAAATTTGACATTCAGGTTAAGCACGTCTGTAATAAGGTTAATACAAATTTAAACTGCTTCCGTTTCATCAGAAGGAACCTGTCACACCAAACTGCTAAACTGTACATGCATGCACTGATCTTCCCCCGCTTATCATATTGCATTACATCATGGTCACAGGCTTCATCCACCACTCTAAATCCTATAGTCTTAATGTACAAGCAAGCAATAAAAATTATGGACCAGAAACCACTGAAATGGCATCATTGTCGCATTTTAAGGAAACATAATCTTCTCACTTTTGAAAATGTTATTAATTTTAGCACTCCAAGATTCTTTTTCAATTGTCTAAATGATAACTTGTCTAAACTGTTCGCTACTGTGGCCGTCAGACGTCAGAGCTCTCATAGAACGATCACTCGAGCCTCCACCTGCGGTGATTGTCTCGTCCCGCGGTGCAAGACTTCTTTTGGTCAGTCTGCTCTTTCTGTAAAGGGGGCAAAACTTTGGAACTCTCTACCTGCTGACCTAAAACTAGAAACGGACAGTAAAGTTTTTAACAAAGAACTCAAAACATGGTTAAAGTCTAAACAACAATGTCTACATGAACAGTTTTAAAGTCTTACATTGCTGCTCAAATTGCCTTGTTTTATTCTTTTTATTCTTTTTTATTGAAAATTGTTTGCAATTTTAATCTGTTTTCTGTTTGATTTATTGTTTATCTCCTTGTATTTTATTTAAATGTATTCTACTTTTTAGAAAGGTTCTATGGACAAGTGTTGCAAATTAGCACGTGTGCTAACACACTAAACAATGCATCTGGTTCGTCCAATGTAACTGCTGTGTCCATGTCAAATAATCATCACTACTACTATCATGTAGAAATGAAGTCAAAATGACACTCTGTGGTAAAATGTGGTTACTGCAACCACTTTAAACACCTCTGGAGGTTTTTGTCGGCGCTGCAGTATTAGCTCACAGGAGACGCAGCACCCCCACACTCACTGATGGTAAACAGCAGTTACGTCCCTACTTCCTTTGATTTGAAAGGACAAAAACTGACAATCCAGCAGCCAGCTGGATATGAAATGTTTCAGTAGAACATTCCTTCCCAAATGACTGAATCACTAGACTCTTGGTATTCCCTCACTGTAAAATTCTCATTATAATCTTAAATTCTAAACCTTAGTTTTCACCAAGAAACGTAATCTTTTAAACCAGTCTTTGTTTTCAGATGTTATAAATCAGTTTGACTCTGACCCTTCTGATTAACTTGTAAACATTTTCCAGACTATTTACAGTTGATGAGTTACCTGCAGGTTTTTTCCCCGTTTCTAACAGATCTGTGTGATAAGCCAGGTCATGGACGTCCGAGTCTCCAAACCCTGTGTCTGGGCTGCTTGTTGGCTCATCCTCGAGGGTAGGAGGTGCAGACAGTCCAGCGTCATCTGGGCTCAACTCCAACACAGCTGCCAGCATTTCATCATCGTTTATTCCATCGAACTCTGCTGGATCCATCACTGCTGCCTTCTGAAATTACATTCCTCTATATAAAAATACAGAAATAAAAGAGGCAGACACGATCTTTAAGGTGAATGAACAGACACTCGCCTCTTCTGAACGTTCATCTTCTTCAGGCAGGCAGCTGCTGAAGCGACGTTTCCGGTTAACACTGACTCTCCTGATGGGCTCCTCTTTACAGTCAGAGTCCAAGAGGATGGAGCTACAGCTGGAGTTAGCAACTTTTCCTCCAGTCCTTCTAAAAACATTTAACCAATAAATTGAGTTTAAAGCAGTATTTGGCTAAAAAGCAACAATTCAGATATCCCAAGACATCCAAGTAAAAAAAAAATTATTTAATGCACATTTTTACTCACCGAAAAGATGCTGTGGGGGAGTTGATAGGTGATATTTTAAATGTTCTGGACCTTTGAGAAATAAAAAAATATATAGATTAGGGATGCACCGATGGATCGGCATTTGATCCCAATCGGCCGATAGCGCCCCTATCGGTTTTGATCGGAGTTTTCAAAATAGATCAAAGCAGACCGATCATGTAGGGTTGTCACGGTAACCGGTGTAGCGGTAAACACCGGTAAAAAAGTTGACAATAATAACCGTCTTGTTTAAAAAAAAAACTATATTATCTCGGTGGATTACCGTGGCTGCGATGTAGGCGCGGTGACCCTTACCAGCCACCGTATCATCTGCTGAAGTTGCCGGCGGCACATGCGCACTTTGTTGTTTACAACCAAAACTTTCTTGAAGCTAAAGCTGAAATAATGGCCAAAGGAGGAGACGGCAATTCAATTCAATTCAAGTTTATTTATATAGCGCCAAATCACGACAAGAGTCGTCTCAAGGCACTTCACATAATAAACATTCCAATTCAGGTCAGTTCATTAAGCCAATCAGAAATAATGTTTCCTATATAAGGAGCCCAGCAGGTTGCATCAAGTCACTGACTAGTGTCTGTGACTATACAGCAGCGCTCAGGAGGACATTTTTATCCCTCACAGAAGACAAAGTGGGAAGTACGGGCATCTTTTGGATATTTGAAGAATGCCGAGGGACAGCTGATAGAAGACGGCTATCCTGTTTGCAGCACGTGCAGAAAAAGTGTCTGTGAAAGGCAGCAACGCTTCAAATCTCATGACACATCTGCGTGACCGTCACCCACAACTCTACAGTCAACGCAAGGCAAGCCATCATTAGCGTTTTAGCTAAAATGCGTGATCCGAGGATTTGGGTTGAGGGAGAATGCAACGAGTCGCTATATAAAGCAGCCGCAGCGCCGCTACCTGCATATAAACCGTGTCGCGGACACCCCCATGTTGAAATGACGCTATGCATTACGGGGCTCCCAGGGGCAGATAAGAGTTGGTCTCTCTCTGAGAATAATTATGAATTTAACAATGATTACTGCCTGATGACATTTTCCCACATCTGCAAAGCTCACTGGAAGGACACAAATCGAGGACAATATTTTCCTGATATTGGGTTTATTACTCAAGTAAGGGTAAAAAAAGTATCTGATTAGAAGGCTACTTGAGTACTGAGTATCATCTGATCTAATATTTTTAAATGATGACATCAAACAGACATAAAATAAGTTATGGGCGAATATTGGTATTTTAAAGACTAAAGGGGAAAAATGTAAACAAATAAACAACATAATTACAAAATAACACATTTTAGGCAACATTTAGACACAAACTGAGGACAATATTTCCTGATATACAGGGTTTATTTAATTTTGTGAAAATGTAGCACGTTTAAAAAAAATACCGCGATAATACCGAAAACCGTGGTAATTTTGGTCACAATTACTGTGAAATTTTCACACCGTGACAACCCTAATACAGACCATTTTAAATTAGGTTACATTTCCTTTATTCCCAGATTATGTAGTTTGTAGCACTCATCATAATGTTGTAGAAAATTTCTGGCCAATCCACGTGATCGGTATCGGTGATCAGCATTCTTTGATATTGGTATCGGTGATCGGCAGCAAAAAACCCGATTGGTGCATCCCTAATATAGATATTACTTTGTTATCAGAGATCTTCAAAAAGGTGTGCAAAACACATTACTAGGGCTGCTCAATTAATCGAATTTTAATCCCAATTTCGATCAGAGTTTGGAACGATTACAAAAAACAAAACAAGCAGATTATTTTCTCCTCCCTCTTGCGCTGCTCCAAGTTGCAAATCAAGCGCTCCTCCCACATTGTTGCCAACTTAGCAAATTATTTGCTATTTCTAACATCTTTTCAGACCCCCTTCTTGACTTTTTAAATTCTAAAAGTACCTCGCGGACAATGTAGAAACATCTCTGGTAACCCTTAGCTACTTTCTGGAAGACTGTTGTCGACATTTCCTGCAGGTTAGCAAAACACTCCGCCTGCGCTCCGGACCGTCTTTCCGGACATTAGGAAAGGGAATGATGTAGTGATGTGTTGGTCACAAAAAAAAAAAGTGAGTGACACACACCGTACCTGCAGGCTCCTGAGCCGCTAAAAACGGCATAATGTGCACGTGTGGTGCGCTAAACACACGTGCAGCTTGCCCTTGATTGCTGTGAGACTGGGTTGGGGGTACGGCGCAACTCCGATTGCTGTGGCTGGGACAACCACTACATTAACTGAAGGGACCTGTAAATAAATAAATGGTTTAGAAATAGATAGAAATAAGTTTCTCACGCCGATGAATATGAATTAATCTCTCTGAGACACGTTGCTAATGTACACACTCATACAGCACCGCTTGACAGGACTAAATAAATATGCAACATTTTGTGACCGTCACTAAAACATACAGTATATATTTGTGTTTTTATTTATGTTATGAATGCCATTGTATAATTCAGTATTTGCAAGATATTGGTTGGATATTTGGGTCTGTATTGGTTAGGCTTCAATGAGTGAAACCTCAGCCCTTTGGGTCATAAACTATGAGCAAGTGTGTTGGCCTTTTTATACTAGGAGTCAGTTGTTTTTTGATCATCTTGTTGCTTTCCTTTTCTTTTTGCCCTGATTGTGCCCTGAGCAATTTTATGACTGAATACATACATAAACAAATAAAATCAACATTAATTGAAAAATCGTCTTAAATAATCGAGATCTCAATTTCAGTCACAATAATCGTGATTATCATTTTTGCCATAATCGAGCAGCCCTACACATTCCTCCTACAAAACAACAAATTAGGCATGGTAGCTAGTTTCAAGGTCTACTGCAGACATTTTACCATACTGTTCCAGTGATTTAAACTCCTCTCATGGTTCAAATCTTCCTGAGCTTCTTCTGAAGCCCCCACACCTCCCCCTGCGATGCTAAGGTTAGCAGTTACACAGATACTCCTCATGATGGAAGGAGGCACGTCAGTATGCTTATGTCTTACAAGGAAGCTTGGGTCGTCCAGCCGAGGCTGATGGGGGGTCTCGTCAACTCGGTGCAGTGGGACAACAGGGTCAGGTACCGAGGGATCACCACCTGTTGGCCCAGTTTGCTGTTCAGGGACAGCTGAGCGTTGAAGCTGTACCGTTTCAGGTGCAGGATTAGAACTCTGTAGAATAAACACACATTACAAAACAAAAACTAGCTTACCGGTTAAATTTGATTTACTTTTCTTTATTCTGATACGCAAAAGAAATTTAGATAAAGTATTTGAAACAGCAACATTTTAATATTTTTTAAATGATTGTGCTTTTGCTGGAAGTATTTAAGTTTGTGCCTTTATGAGTTTTGTTTGCAGGTACCTGGGAAGTTTGCTGAATTTATGTGCAACAGTGGCAGATTTTCCATAGCATTTTTCACAAGAGTACTCTATTTCCTCCATCTGCAAACAGAAAAATACATTAATGGTGTGTCCATGTCATGGTAACTAAATAAAAACAAAGACAAATCCTGTGGGAAGTTGCAACATGAATTTAGCTAAAGAGTTACCCTGAAAAACAGATCCAGAGAGTCCTGGATGGAGCGGAGCGGGAGGGTTTTCTTTCTGCGTGGCAGGTCAATGGATAAGTCGTTGAACTGCTCGCGTTTTGTCACCACTTCCCCACAGCTGCAACACAACACGAAAGCATCATCCAGAGCCACTGCCTGCTATATAAAACACATTAAAGGGGAAATTGAGTCTATCGGGGCCCCACCATTTGCAGGTGATTGTGTGTTGCACCTCAAACTCCATGTTGACTGCAACGGGGCAGGTGTAGAGTCGGGAGGTATCTGCCTCCTCACCAGGTTCTACCTTAAAAGCAGACAACATGGCCTCTGAACTGTTGTCACGGACCACAGAGGAGGAGGCAGCAGCATCGCTTGTCAAACTCTTGTTCATTTTCTCCACATCATCTTTCAGCTGGTCCAAACACTGACTCAGGAACTCATGAGCATCCTGATGAACAAACAAACAGGGAAGAGATATTAAAAAATACATGAATTGAGATGTTTGGATCTGCTCCAAACTCACAACGCAATGATGTAGAGCAGGGGTTTCAAACTCAAAAGTCACACTGGGCCAAAATGAAACTCTGGGACGAAGTCGCAGGCCAAACTTAATTTTTTTTTTGAAAAAGTGACGGCAAATTAGCACATTTTCTTTATCAACATATATGCAATTTTGAACCTTTTCATTTGGAAACAAACTTATTTTTGCATTAACACTGAATGTAGAATAGCCAAATTACACACGAGCAAGTCAGTTTTAAACTAGAAAAATTGCATTTATTGCACAAATGCTGTTTGAATGCTGGATAGCTGAAACTGTAAGCTGAAGCTGCTGAACAGCTGAACTGAAGCTGAAATTAAGCAAAACTGTCAAAATGAGCTGAATGTCTTGAAAGATGTAGAAGCAAAAAGCACCAACAAGCAAATAAAGCACAAAAAGTAAGTGAAGAATAGAGAAAAATAATGCTAAATAGCAAAACAACTGAAATCTGTGAACATTGTATAAAAATCTCGACAGCTTAAATGTCTAAACACCTGTTATTTCAGTTTGCCAAGTTTAACAGTTTAATCTTTACATTTAGCTGAACTGTGAAATTAGCAGTTTATGCTAAATTTGGTAACTGATTGCTAAAGTTGTTGAATAGCTGAAGTAAGCTGAAACTAAGCTAAACTGTCAAAATGAGCTGAATGTATTTAAAAATCACCAACAAGTGTAATAAAGCTCAGAATATAGGTGAAGAATGAATAAAAAATGCTAAACAGCAGAAAACTTTAATCTTTGAACATTAATTAAAAAATCGAAATTTGAAAGTTAAACAGCTGGCATTTGAATGAGAATAGTTTAATGGGTACATTTTTACAATTGGCTTAACTGTGAATTTAGAAATATTTGCTGATATCTGAAACTGATAGATTAACATATGTTCAGATTTGATATGGGATGGATGAATGGTTGGATGAATGAAATAATGGATGGATTGTTGGACGGATGTTAGATGGATGGATGGATAGAAGCATGTATGGATTTACCGTAAATCCTCTAATATTGGCCTGTATTTAATTAACTGCCGGGTATCATATTTTGGCCGGTGTCGGAGTCGGCGGAGGTGAATAATGGCCGGTCTATTATTGTGGCCGGGTGGAATGTGGTAACAAGCAAGTACGGGGGGCGGTTGTGTCATCGTCTCACTTTTGATTTGCCAGTGATAGACCGCGAGGGTAACTTTAACCGTGCGGAGACGAAGAGGAGGCGAAAATTTGATATCAAGTTCAAAGAGAAAGTGCTGATTATGCTGCAGAACACTCTGGGGAGCAGTAACAGGGGTTGTATGAACCAGTCGACTTCATCGCTCTATAGTGACTTTTTATGCCTGTCATCGACTAGTCGCTGTCGCGTGATAATGACCGGCAAGATGCAGCCCTCGGAAAAGACAGCAGCCTGCTGTCAGCAGGTGACAAGCTCCTGCACGTCGGTACTGACACCCGCCATAAAACGGACATTTAACCAAATTGTGACCTTTACCCTCTTGCAATTTAACATTCCCGTCACCCCCATCCTAACCTTTACCAGCTTGCGCATGCAAAGCTCTGATTGTTGACGCGCTCCAGACATCTGCGTCCTGAGCACGGCCACAGTAACATTATCAAATCAGGTGTCGCCACCTCAAAAACTAATTTAACACGCGATCGTGCATGTCAGCTCATTTCCTTTTATGTTTTCTGTCTTTTATTTGTGCCTGATGCGTTTCGCTGCTGTGGATCGGGGCGCATCACCTGTTTTGTCCTCCGGTGACGCACCTCACCGGTGCAGCCGGCACGCTCTCCGCTGTTTTTGCGGTCGGTAGATCTTTTAGAACTGCAGTTCAAAGGTAACTCATAAGGTGAATATATTTGAACCCAGGTAGCAGTTTTTCTTTAGGATTGAGAGGAGATGCAGGAAGATAATAAACAGGCAGGACAGAAAAATAGTCAAATAAAAACAAGTTAGTTTTTGTACCTTGTGGTTGCAACAAACAGACAGCATTGAAGGTAATCAGAAGTGAGGAACAGAAAATATAATAATTATTTTAATGTTTAGAGCAGCAGGAACTCCGAGAGGCTGCAGGCGCATCAGTGAGTTTGCGGCCGCTGCGCAGGGGGAGGGGGAAGAGGGCTGAAGCAGAAACTACCATTGTTAAAAGAAATGTGTTTAACTTTGAAAATGTGGGCGCAATTTTAATTGCCAAAAACTCCAGCGAACCATTAGTTCATTTTGCTCAAATAGAAATAGAGCCTTGCCTCTAATTCTGGCCCTCCTTCCAATAAAAGCCTGGAGCTTGATGAGCTTGAGTCAAATACAGGCCTGGGCCTGTATTAGAGGATTTACGGTATATGTAGATGGATGGATTCCTTAGGCCAAGCCGATCGATTTGATGTCTCACATGCGTGGCTGTGTAATTCCATTTAGCCAGAAGATGATTGACCTCTCTCAACCAATCAGGGAGCTGGGAGGGAGCGGGGCACTTTCCCACCTTCTGACGGTCAATCAAATTGAACTTATTTCCAGTTTTAAGTACAGATAGTTCAAAAAGATCAAAAACAGGAGTCTGTTAGTGGCTCAATATTCTTCTTTTTATATTAATTCCTATGAGACTTGGTTAAAGTGATTTGTAGGTCCTTGTGTTGCCATGGTAACAGATGACAGGGTTGCGGAAGGGTTGGGCTTCCTGACAGGGTTGCGGAAGGCGCTTTATAAATAAAGATTTGATTTGATTTTTGATTTGACAGGAGTCTGCATTAATAAAGCTATGTACAATAACACATGACTCATTTAAACTTTGAATAACATTTCTATATTAAAGTATGTTAATACAGTTGTGTCTAAAATGTTAAATGTTGTTGCTAAGCACGTTGCCATGGTAACGCAGAATACAATATCAAGTTAATACAAGACTCCTGGGACCAAGCAGGTTGAATTGATATACCATACGTCAGGATGCACATTTCCCTTTAGGCAGAAGACTATTGAAAACTCTCAGCCAATGAGAGAGGGTCGGTCGGTTGCTTTCCTTAAGCCTAGCCGATCGATTTGATGTCTCACATGTGTGGGTGTGTAATTCCATTTAGCCAGAAGATGATAACCAATCAGGGAGCTGGGTGGGAGCGGGGCACTTTCCCACCTTCTGACGGTCAATCAAATTGAACGCGTTTCTAGTTTTAAGTGCAGATCATTCAAAAAGATCAACAACAGGAGTCTGTTATTGGCTCAATATTCATTCCTATGAGACTTGGTTAAAGTGATATGTACTTCCTTGTGTTGCCATGGTAACAGATAACACATTTAAAATTGAATACAAGATTCCTGAGACCAAACTGGTTGATTTGATGTGGCATTTGTGTGGGTGCTGGATCCTGATTGGACAGAAAATGGTTGAACACTCAACCAATCAGAGAGCAGCACCATTTTCCCGCCTTTCCCCCTGGCTGTTGGAGGCCTGCAGCTGTACTCCTGTTAATGAGAGAAGCCTTTAAATCGAGAGGGTGCTCGCTACAGAACCACAAAGGCAGAGCTGCACCATAAGGTGGAGCTGCACCAGAGTCAGCCCCGCCCATTCACGCAAACTCAGCCTAACCCACTGACTTCCGTTTTTGTTTTCAACTTTATCGCAAACTGACCTGACCCACATGAATTACGGCTGTTACTAGTTTACAGTCGTTAATGCTATGTTCTATGCTCCAATTAAACAAGATAAATATAACTTGCTACATGACAAAGACTGAATACATCTCGAAATGAAAAGGTTCCTTTTAGCGAATATCTGCCCACAGCCGGTCTAACAGAATTGGTGTATAACAGCATGTCAGACTTTCGAATGGGCTTTGGTAGTCCAGTGGCGAGATCGTCTGAGTAAAATTTTGCTTTCCCCTCAGCTGATACTGGTTCGATTCTCGGTGGGGTCGTCAGCAATCTCTTTAGCCAGCTGAAACATTTAATTTGTTTATATTTTAGTTGTAATGTTTATTTTCAGCAACATATTTATGTCTCTCAAAGTTCTTTGAATTTGGTCGTTCCTAAACTGCATTTTAGTTGAAACTCTGCTCACAAATGGACTCACACTGGCTAAATAAACGAATAAATAAATAAAAAAACCACATTAGTCATATGTTAAACGGTATACCAGTAAATTGTTGTAAACATAGTACTGGCAAGTGTAGCTAGAAATGAAGAAAATAGGTTGTACACTACCTAAAACTAATACAGTAATGGGAGGCGAACCTACGCAAAACTGCATGTCAACCTGACTCCATAACCACTACACCACCACATCTGTTTTAACTCAAGCGGCGTTACATCTAATTGTGCTGCCCAGTGTGTCTCTGAGATGGGTTGTATGGTTTATTGGCGGCGTCTCAGTAGAAGTCATTTCAGAAATAATTTGTCAGAAAATTCACAGAATATCCAGATTTGAGAACCAAGACCAGACCCGCTTCGGGGGAGGAGACCAAATTGAAGCTGAGGTGGGAGGAAAATGCATGAATGAGGCTAAAAATGGCTTTGGCATGTTTCTTATGAGGAAATGACAATATAACATGATTAAAAGTTCCAAAAGTTAGATTTTTAATTATATGGAACCTTTACAAAAACTGTTCAATTAACTTCTCAACTCCGTCCTCAATCTTGCATTTTTTTGCTATGACACCCTCTTTGATTCCAGAATGCTATCAAGTCTGACAACTGGAAGGACTTGGACTGACTCTGATGGATGGGCGGGGCTGATTCTGGAATGGGCGGGGCTTACTCTGGTGCAGCTCCACCTTCTGGTGCAGCTCCGCCTTTGTGGTTCTGCAGCGAGCACCACTTGTTTAAATCTGTCCTTCAGAAGTGAAATTGGACCTGTCAAACTTCTCATCACCATTCGAAAAGTACTGCACCGATTTGAAAATTTCAAAAAGCGTGAGCGGCAGAAGGCTTTGATGGTCATGTGTGTCCATTTTTATGTGCCTACCATGAATTGTCTAGAAGCTATGACGAGAAACTTTTCTCCTCTGATCGGCTTCAGACAGCTAAAAGAACAGGCAAACAATAGTTTGAATGCTTAACAGCATTCAAACAATAAAAGGCATCAGTGGTATTTATTACTTGTGGTATATTCAGCATTTTTAAAATCTATTCAGGATGTTTGTTTTCTTGTTGTTTATTCATTTTTCTTATTTTTTATTCTCCTGTAATAAGTGTCATCGCTGCTGTGACATCTAGCTTTCTATTCATCTATCTGCAGCCTTTCCACTTCCTGTTTACTGTAGGTTAAATCTTTTCTCACGGGCCAACAACAAAATAAAAATATCATTTTATCTTAAATGAAAATGCAACATCTCACCTGTTAACTTTCATGTTTTGGAGCAGAAAAAGAGCATAAAACCAACATATTTAAAGCTCAGTTTGCTCCACTGGTTTACTGTGATGCTCACCTGTTCCAGCCAGATACCTGCATCATGGGGTTGATCTGAGCTGAGGAGGAGACTCCTGTTGTTTTGTTCATCTTCATCATAATAATGACAACATTAGATGACAACAGGTGCTCACATAGGTTTGTGCTGCTGAACATGTCTGAGCAGCTTGACCACGTTGTTGTGTGTCGGGGAGGAAAAATAACTACAGCAGCCACAGAGTCATGCTGATATGAGCGTGTCACTGCTCGCTGGAGTTATATTAGCTCTGTCTGGACGTTAGTTGGAAAACTTTCTCTTTCAGTCGTGAACACATTACTGAGCAGTTAAAATCTCCATTTCTGGACTTCAACGTCGGCAAATAGCTGAGTGAACTCGGCGCTGAGTGAGAGGAGTGTTTAGTTTGTCCGAGACAGCGGAGCTGCAGACACCGGCAAAAACACAAAGGAGGGGGACAGCGCTTCGGCTCGCGCCAACAGCGCAAAGCATCATGGGAGTTGTAGTCTTTGCGGTAAAATCGGCCAGCGGGTCAGTTTCAAAATATTTTGATATTTATCTCGCGGGCCACATAAAAATGCTCCGCAGGCCTCGTGTCTGACACGTGATGTAGAGTATTTAGAAATACAAGTTATCACAATGCCGACTCACAACATTAACTAAAAACAGAGAAACTTACATTCTGCATGTTTCCAGAAAAGCGCTCAGCTGTGGAGGAGATGGCGTTCTTCACCTTCCTCAACAGATCTTTCTTCGTCTCTGGACAGCTCACGTCCTTCTTCAGCATAAGGTGAGCAAAACGCCTGAACAGAGTCAAGATGAGCAGAAAACATACTCAATGACCATCAGTAGACAGATGCAAAGACTCTGGAAATTAAACCTATTTCCAGAACTAAACTGACATTTGAATGCAACATCATCCGGGTCTCGCAGATAGATTTCTGGATCTCACCATGTTAGCCACGACAGCGTTTCAAATGGTGGTACTAAATCTTACCGTAGCAAAGCGTTGATGGGCACCTTCTTCCATGGGATGCTCTGCTTTAGCATGTCACTGGAGAATGAGGGGAGACTGAAGAGGGACTGAAGGATGGCATTCATGTAACAAGTGTTGCCCAGATTGGAAAACCTGGAATTTTGGAGTGTGTTAATTTTTAGGCCATTTTATTTTTCCTTCAGTTCCGAGGGGTGTGTGCCGCTAAGTTTGGTTTTAAACAACGAGTGAAATTAAAAAATGTTTATTTATTTTCTACCCTTGCAGGGGCGACTGTGGTTGTGTCAGGGCAGAGGGTCTCTGCTTGTTCCAGCCGCCGTAGTCCAGAGAAGACCGTACTTTCTTGAAGGGAGTTGAATGGCTGGGGAGCACCAGGCTCCTCTTGGCTGAGCTGGTCTGTGCGGTGCTGGCAGGCCTAGGGCTGTGTCACATGACCAAAATCATTTCTATACAACACAATACACCATAAATTCAGCAAACTAATGAAATCACCAAATGCAAATGTGTTCCCAGTTTAGACTTGAATTGGGTTTGGACAAGATATATAATCATTACATGTACTACCGACTAAACAGCTCAATGGGTTATTTTTCATCAACAGATGTAACTCAGATGTTTCAGTTCAACTTGGAGAAACTTTTCAGACTCACCTGTCCAGAAAAGAGCGGCTCTGACTGTAGTCTTTAGTTCCAGACCGGCTCACATAGAAAGAAGACGGCTGAAGAGGAGACGAACCCAGCGGAGCTACAGGTGAGGTGAAACATGCCTAAATAAGTATAACTCAGTGTTTCCCTTACATAGGCGTAGCCGTGGCGAAATCCCAGCGCCACGCCTACAAGATCCCAAGTTTTATTGATTTTTTTTTTGCGCCGTTTCCCAAAGAAGCAGCGGTAACTACTCTGTTGTTGCTTGTGATCACAGCCGGCAGGCAGCGAGGAGGAGGCAGGGCAGGGTGGTTACAGCTAGGAATGAGCCGGATACTCATTTCAGACGAGTATCCGGTACGGATAAAGCATTTTTGACGAATACGAGCATGAAACGTGTTAAACTCCTAAATATCTGTAATCGTGCTGAAGGAAAATCCTCATTGGGTAACTGACTGTCTTCACGCTCTGTGATTGGTCAGTCACATAGAGCGTCCGCCCCTCCCTACACACAAAACTCTGCTCAGTCACACTCACACACCTCTGTGCTTGCTTCACTGTCGCTCACGTTTCTTCAGTGCTCCCTAGGTTTTCTTCAGCTCGCCGCTTTTTCGGTTGAATATTTAAAATTACTTTTTTCGTAACGTGCGTGGTGCATTTGACAAGACAGAGCTGAAAACGGCTCTTGCATGCGTCGGTCACTGCCTCCGCTCTGGTTTTTTATTATTTTATCTCTCTCCCTCTCTCTCACACACACACATCAACATTGTTTTGTTTAAGTGTGTGTGGGGAAAATGCCAACAACATTAAGAAAAAAATCAGTTTAATCAAATTAAAATAAAATGGTTCTAGTATTTCATATTTCCTACTGCATGAGTTCAGATGCATTAATTCATGCACTTAAACATTAATGTTCTGATTTTACTGAAAAACTTGTTTTGTTCTGTTCTAATAGTAACAGTTCCTTTATTATTGTGATCAAAAATATTTAATCTCAATTCTGAGGCTGCTCTGTAAATAGTTTTCCAATAAACAATACACCCAGCAACTTCTGATCAACCCATATCAATTTCTGATTTAAAATAATGTATTGATGTAAACCACACCCACTAATTTCCAAATAATAAGGTGCATTCATCTGTGTATCTCCTTTGATCCACGTTAGTGATGTTTTCAGCACCAGAACAATGAAGCAAAGAAACAGATTCCTGAGTTTATGTTAGTAATTTTATTTATTAGGTGCATCTGACCTGTTCTATTTTTCTCTGAAATGAGATCAAATCAGTGCTTCTATGGGTTGGCTCCACTCTGCACTAGAAACATGTACTTTATTATAATGTTCACTGTAATGCATCTTGATGTTCTTAAATAAATTAAATCAAAGATACTGGTCAATAATGCCAAATACGTAAGTATGTGTTTCAGTCATTTTTATACTGGCTTAAAAATACTTCATAAAGTCTACTAAGCAGGGGTGTAGAACGTGTTTAACAGGGCCAGCCCAGTAATGGTCTTGGACCAAAATAAAGAGGGCAGAAAGTTGAATAAGGGGGCAGAAGGAGATGTTCTTTTAGACAGCAACAAAAATTAAATACCAACCCCCCCCCCCCCCGCCAAGTGTGTCAGAGTTTAAAATAAAAATTATTTTTGTGCAAATATTGGTGTATTCACCTTTAATACTAGTTATTAAATTGCAGCAGTTGCTGGACTGGCGCAGTTCAAAGTGGAGTGCGTCAAATAAAACAATATTAACATAAAGGTGAGACATGTCTCAGGCAGGTAACTGGATCAAATTACTCATGAGACGCGTTACCACCAGGTGTCACACACCTGCCTTCATTACGTTCAAACAAAAAAAAAGTGAAATAAGTTATTTATCTCAATAGTTATTGTCACACGTTTCATTTCACAAAAGGCCATAAAAGCTGTTCATCGCTAGCATGTCTGTCCAGAATCCAGGAGGGTGCAGCTCACCTGAACTCCTGTTTTCATCCGCTTGCTTCAGCTTTTCTTTACAGCTCAGGAGAAACTTCCTGGATGGGTCGGACGTGGCTTTGTTGTTGCTACAAATAAAATACAACAAATTCAATATGGAATTAGAAATACATCTGGAAGCTAGTCTAGGGTTTGGAATAAAGCTGGAGATGTAAATTCATGCAAACTGGGCTTAACAGATACCGTTTATGCGTTTACCTTGATGAGTCATTTTCCTTGGGATAATCTTCAGTTAAGTCACTTTCAGAGTTTAGGAGCCTCTTTCTCTTCTCAGCCCTGAAACAAAGAGCAGAATTCTGACAAACCCAAGATACACAAATTCAATCCCTGAATTCAGAACAGATCCTCAGCTCACCTGTTTTCAGACAGACCAGTGCGAGTGGGCGTGGAGGCCGCTCTGCCAGGGCAGCTCAGAAGTTTACGTGGCATCATCTCTTCTCGGCCTTCTGCACTCTGCCGCCTCGGTGTTGTCTGAAACACATTGAAAGTCAAAGTTTCAGTGTTGCACGTTGTTCTGAACATGTTCAAGTTAAAACTTCTTGGGTGTGTTGCTCACCTGTCTTTCCCCTGATGGACTGTTCTCGTTCTTCACAGATCTGTGACTTAGCACGCTGAAGTTTGCACTTCCATGGGAAGATTTCAAAACTGAAAACACAAAAAGCATACGGCTTATTTTGGGTAATAAATTGGTGTTGCAGAACCATTCCAACTGTGAGACTAGGCTTATTAGGTATTCCAAAGGTAACAGCGGACAGGCTAACTGCAACCACGTTCAGCTATATCAGAAAAGCAGTGGTCATCAAGGCTAATCAACTTATCAGTTTCTTTTGCAAGCTTTTAATTTCTTGACCCGTGTCTCGTACTATTTATACAAAATGTGCTACACCTGCATTTAGCTGCAGCAATAAAACAATTCCACTAGTTGTTTTTGGTTTACATGATAACTTACAACACAAATGTAAAAAAATAAAATAGAAAAACAAGAGCTCAACCCTCAATTTCGATACCTATGAAGTAAAAACTAAGGCCAAATCAATAAATAAAAGTTTTCAATTTTAAAATGTATTGTTTCAGAGCAAAGCCTGAAAATTTTCTCCATTAAACATGTTTGTTTGAAGACGAAGCTTTGAAGAGGATCTTTTTTTCGGTTGAGGGGGGGGTGATGTATTTGTATAGCACTTTCTTAGGGTTCTACAACCCCCCAAGGCGCTTCACAACACAATCAGGCATTCAGTGATGGGGATGAGCTATGCCACAGCTGCCCTGGGGCGCACTGATAGAGGCAAGGCCAGACAAACACCGGTCTCTCCAACCATCATGCCCAAGACCACAACAGCAGCATTCTCTGATCAGAGCCTGGAATGAACCTGCAACTTTCTGATTACTAGACAACCCGCTCTACCTCCTGAGCTGCTGCTGACATTCATGATAATAAATTATCAATCAATCAATACTTTATTAATCCCAAAGGGAAATTACCTGACTTGTCCTGCTTCAGTTTTTCCAGGTATTCCTTTGTCCTCTGAACCACAGATGGGGACATTTTATCCAATGTGATGATGTTGCTATCCTTCAATGTCAAACTGATTCGGCTCACATTATTGGTAACGGTTTTCACATTCTGGTTCAGCTGCAAGCAATAAGACAACGAAAATCAGTCAAATGAACATAGAGCAGATGTTCTAATCATGCCCTTTTCTCTGTTCATTAACACACTGTAAATCCTGAGTTTTAATATTTTTTCATTTCTTCTTTAGAAAGCAACACAGCAGAATACCCCCCCCCCCCAAAAAAAAAACTAAAACAAAAGGGTGAGCTGAATTTAAACATTAAAGCAGAGCACAAGTGATTAAAATCTAAACAGTAACACTATTAAACACAATCTCAGTCTTTGTTGTACTAACATACACCTATCCAATGTGGCATTTTTATTTTACATGTTCATGTTTTATTTGCTACAGTTGCCGTGAAGAAATAAGAAAACGTAGGCTTAGAAAGTGCCCGTATTAAAAAAAAGCCAAATAGAAACCATATCTACACAGCAGACTCAATCCTGCTTTACATTCATTCACTCAGTAGGAATGCAATGTTAGGGGAAAAAATCGTGTTTCAGGGGTCAGCTAAGTACACATGCAGACATATCCATATTCAGACATTTTCCATTAGGTGAAAAGAAAAAAATTAAGTGATTTATCTAGCATGGGTTTTGAAGATTTTCCAGCAGCCTAAACTGGTGATAATTTCCACAAGCACCAACAGTACACACCATAAATAAAACAATAAACACAAGTTACACTTACTATAACAGACAAAGATCCTAGCAGAAAAATACCAGGATAAAATCTGTTTTCTTACGAACATGTTTACTTAATGATCAAAAGCATTGTATTCACCGTCACATGATTTAGTCCTATGACCAATTACAATTACATTTTCAAGCACTTTTGGAAAATTCCAGCACTTTCAAAACCATGAAAACACCACATTAAAATTCAAGCATTTGGTTACATTTCAGGCTACTGTAAGCGTACTCTAAATATACCTGGAAAGTTTTGAGAGCTCCACCACTGTTGAATTTTACACAGAGGTTAACTTTGTTGTCCTTCTCCAAAATTTCAAATGTCCCTTCTCTCCATTTTGTGGTGCCCAGCTCCATGCTAACGAAGCGAATGTCAACAGTGCCACCACTGGAGAGTTTGGGCACCATAGTTGCCATGGCTTAATATCCTGGTGGTGCACTTGGATGTCCTGAGATCAAACCCTAAACAAAAAGCATCAAAGATTCTGTCAGTCATATTCGGTCTGCAGGTGTGTTAACTGTGGATAAATTAAGTACTGTAGTGACAAATACGTTTTAGTTTACACATTAACTTTGAATATTTAACATGGGGGCATGTTCTGTATGAAACAACATTTAAAAACAATATATTTTTTAAAGTTTCTAGCTCAATGCAAAATAAGAGCGGTTTGGATTTTGAGCACATCTACTCACTATAACCTGCTTTGTGAAAAGTCCTAGACTCTTACCCCTTGAACAACAGTGAGTTTAAAGCAGTTTTAAAAGTTAGTGAACTAGTTATTTCGACCATTGACACTCCAGGAAATCTACTTTCATCGACTCTTTCAAAATCAGACCTGTTTATTTTAATCTGTTCTTGGGGTGTTTCCATTAGCCTTGCCACTTGATTTTAGTCACAACAAACCTCAGCCTTTTCATTTTTCCCATCCGACCGAACAGAAGTCAGAATAGGCTAAACACGAGTAAATGCCTCTCAATTAATACGATCCAAACAGATCAGGGGAGAGCGCATTTCAATTCGAGCAAATCGGTTCTGGCTAAGTGGACGACCTAACGGTTTAATTAGAGAAAATAACAGGCTGCGTTTACTAGCCACGAAGTAGCCCTACGAAAGCTCTGCTGCTGGGTTTGATTTCATCTCATTATGTTGTTCTCAAAAGACAGATAATACCAAATAGGATAGTTGAAAGAGCATAATATCGGAGATTGAATTGCTGACACTTGTTTCTGGAGACGCTGAATGGATGGACGGATTAGGCCGACATTAGCACACCCGCTAACAGGCTAAAGGTAGCTAGCCAAGTGGCTAATTTGCTTGATTCTAATATGGAGATGAAAACACTACACAGCTAGGTTAGTTCATTTAGTTCTTTACCTATCCGCGACGCTGGACTCACCTTCGAACGTGTAACATACAATGTAGTATTTTTTGACGTTCCTTCAGGAGCGGTAAGTTCGTTTTGCCGGCATTCACCTGCCCTCCGGCGTGTTTGTTGTTGACGCCTTTCAGCAACGCGCGATGATGGCGGGAACGTTTACTAATATCGCGACATTTGTTCTGTTCAAGGGGAAGAGGAACTATGCGTTGGTTTCGCGATATTTGAGATATCGCGAGAAGAGAATCAATTAGCTTATTGTGACTAGCAAAAGCAAAATTAGAAAGAAAAGCGACTACTAGTTTGATAATTAGTAAAAACAGAAGATTTTAAGAAATATTTGTAGAACACCGAGCACTTAACATAATGTTGACGACGGGAGCGGTAAGTGCAGGTTCTCGTCTGTTATCTCGGTTTAACTTTGAACACTTTGCGTAAAATTATACATTACATGACAGTATAACGCACTTTCTAATATTTTATGACTAATTTGTTTTCAGTATCTCATGTTTAGCCCAACAGTGAATATATTGCGTTATAATACAAATAATAACCAGTAAATAGTGTGTTCACTTATCTTTAACCAGAAGCGGGTCATAGATACGTGTTCTCAGTTTTTATTTAAAGCCTAAAACTGTGTTGTTATTATTATGTTCAAGTCTCCTGCTTTCTTTTGAGCCGCAGTAGCAGGCTGTCTTCACGAGACCACGTTGCTCACAAACTGTTTTCTTGGACTACCAAATAAGTTGAAGAAAACTTACCTAAGACAGTTAAATTATCATTATTAGTTTTCGTACAGTACACGTGTTTGCAGATTATCTCTTTAAGCACGAGTAATGAATTATCATTTCCTCCTCACTTTTACAGTCTGTTACTAATGTCACAGCCCTAGCCCAGGTAGACCGTGAGAAGATCTACCAATGGATCAATGAGCTTTCCAGCCCAGAAACCAGAGAAAACGCCTTGTTGGAACTAAGCAAGAAACGTGAGTCAGTGCCAGACCTGGCACCGATGCTGTGGCACTCTTTTGGCACTATCGCTGCCCTGTTACAGGTCAGAACATTACTCATAACACACACTGTTTTCATCTGATGATGTAAATACTTTCTACATTCATAGGATTTCTCTGTTGTTTAGGAAATAGTGAACATTTATCCATCTATAAACCCACCGACACTGACAGCTCATCAGTCTAACAGAGTGTGCAATGCTCTGGCCCTTCTGCAGTGTGTTGCCTCACATCCAGAAACACGGTAAAAAAGACTGTAGCAGAAAATGACAAAGATTTCTTAAACCTGAAAATATGTGTAATAAATAAATGTGTTTCACATATATTTGATCTCATGTAAAAACACTTCTAATTCTTCTCTCGTCACCAGGTCAGCTTTTCTTGCAGCTCATATTCCTCTATTCCTTTATCCTTTTCTGCACACTGTGAGCAAAACACGGCCGTTTGAGTACCTGCGTCTCACCAGTCTGGGAGTCATAGGTAATTTGTCCTCTGGTTCAGGTGTTTAATTTGCTTACATTTACACTGGTGACCATTATCAGTCTACTTCACTGCTATCCTGCTATATTACAGCGTGCTTGTTGTTGTTTTGGTTTTTTTCTGTCAATGAATGTTGCACGTTGGGTGAGTGAGGATCAAAATTTCAAATTGGCTGTTTATCTAGCATATGTAACAAACTAACAATAGAGCAACTTTGATCATTTAAAATTCTTTATTTGTTTTAGGTGCATTGGTCAAAACAGATGAACAAGAAGTGATTAACTTCCTTCTCACAACTGAAATCATCCCACTGTGTCTCCGCATCATGGAATCAGGGAGTGAGCTCTCCAAGACGGTATTTTAACTATAAATGTGCATTTTCTTTAGTGTAACTCAGAGATTCTCAAATGTTTAATTATATGTGATAAACACTTCGCATCCCCTTCATGCTACATTTTAAAGCAACACTAAATATGTTTCCTGCTTCTCCACGCTACAAGTTGAAAGTGGAATTACAACTGTCATAAGCAACTACCACAGCCTGCTGTAGCTTGTGCTACCATGAGCCAACTGATACAAAATAAGCCACCGTGTAAAAAGATCCACACTGTTGGACGAAAAATATTACTTACAAGTCTAGTAGCAACAAAGCCAGGTCACAATCATTCTGTGATTTAGTAGCTTCCCTAGCTCCCTCAAACCGGTGTAGGCTGCACTGATGTGCACTCTGGGTTTAGCGCTGTTTCACCTCCAAAGACATAACACTCTTACGTTTCCAGGCTCTGCCATGATGCCAACAAAAAAGCAACATTCTTCTTCTTGTGCTTTTTATTGACAGTCGGTGAACTGAAAAAGTTAACTGCTAGCGTTTATATTAGCCACTGCCACTGTAAACAGCTATGAAGCAGGTAGAGACCCCCACTAGTGAACCTACCCTGTTAAGTGCAGTTTCTGGTCAGCAGAGGGTGGCAAAGTGCTGTCCAGTAAGAAAATGGTAGCATTTATGGCTCAAGGCCCACTGAACCAGTTTGAATGATAAATGGCTTGTATTTGATATAGCACCTTCTAGGGTTTTGCAACCCCTCAAGGCGCTTTGCAACACAAACAGTCATTCACCCATGCACATTTACAGACTGGTGGTCATGAGCTACATTGTTGCTACAGCAGCCCTGGGACGCATTGACTTAAACGAGGCTGCCGAACACATGCGCCAACGGTCCCACCAAGCACCACCAGCAGGCAAGGTGGGTTAAGGGTCTTGCCCAAGGACACGGTTGCCACAGAAGAGGGTTGGACTTGCAACCCTCCACAGGGCTGGCACTAACTCATCTGCCACTGTTGCCCAGTTTGAAAGCAAAAGCTTAAAGTGTTAAAACTCTTTAGTGTTGCGGTCATCTCAGCTACTAATGCATCAAACTAGAGCTCTATATCTGTAACATTTATTGTGTTTTAGCCATTTTTGCATTTGCTAACATTGATTAGCTGTGGCCAGCATCATAAATCAGGTGGATCCCAAAAGTGAATCAGTTGTAGGCATTCTGAGAGTTTCACTAAAATCTGCACAATGGCTGCTCTATGCTACGCACAAGAGCATTGGTTCCCTTTTTGTTTATTTTTTCATTAAAGTTTGAACAATTTTGCATTCTGTCTTAGTCCTAATTATAGTGAGTATTTAGACATTAAGCATCCATTTGTAAAGATTTATGGATGTTCTGTTTCAACAATCATTTAGTTTCCTGCAGTTGAATGAAACACGTGCACTGGTTGATGCAACAGCCAGGAAACCTCGTTAACAGCTTGGTGAGCTTCTGCAATTCTTCCTCGCACTGACCCCGAAAACAAAATAAACACGTTAAAGAATACGATCTAGTAACTTTTCATCCTGATTTATTAAAGGAAGAAACCTTTTTCGACTACAAATGTCCCTAAATGTCACACAAAACAACCAATGATCCTAATCCCTGTTTACATTTAAAACTTAGACCTTTAACAGCTGCATATTTTTCACCAGTCATTTTTTGTTTATCAGGTTGCGACTTTCATACTTCAGAAGATACTGCTGGACGACACTGGCCTGGCGTATATCTGTCAGACTTACGAACGTTTCTCCCACGTGGCCATGATTCTTGTAGGTTTGTTAGAACATATCTGAGAAGGATTAGCCGCCTTCAGTGTTTTGTAACGTTTCCATTATTTTCTCTGCAGGGTAAAATGGTGCTGCAGCTCTCCAAAGAGCCATCGGCTCGTCTGCTGAAACATGTTGTTCGCTGCTATCTCCGCCTCTCAGACAACCTCAGGTACAGTGCCAGAAGCTTTAGCCTCATCATTTAAAGGGACTTTTCGGACTTTTGAATTTTTATGCTCGCGATTGCCCCCTCAGGCCAAAAGTGTAACGGCAGCTTCAATAGTAGGCTCGTGCACAAGGCGCGCATGCTGTACGTGCACACTCCTTAACGAAAATAACAACTGAGACAGTCCCTTGTGTGTGTGTGTGTGTGTGTGTGTGTGTGTGTGTGTGTGTGTGTGTGTGTGTGTGTGGCCCGGAGGACAGAGGACAGGAGAACACGCAGCTAATTAATTAAATAATGTGGTTCTGTACTTTTCTCTTCAGCACAGCCGACAAAGGTTTATGATGGGTCAGTCCTCCTGCATGCTCAGATCATTCCCTTCCCTTGCTTGAAAAATTGTTCCAAAATGAAAGTTGAACCCACATCTTTTTTATCTGTGAATTCAATGCTGTTCAGCAAGTCTCAAATAAAAATTTGGGTGTTTTATTTCAGTAAAAAATATACCATTAATGTAAAAGAGAAACTTCAAATAAAACATGTACTCACCCAGAATCGAACCCAGGTCTTCTGCATGAGAGTCAGACATCTTACTATGTGACCTAAAGCGCCAGTGAAGTTCATTGTATCTGTAACATTTATATCCTTGATGACAGCTGAACCAACATCAATCCAAAGAACGGTTCGGAGCGACAAAGTGGCACTGCCTCTCTCTCTGCTGCTAAAGCTACGGATAGCAAATGCTACGGGCTATGCCTGAGCGTGAACGCGCATGAAGCAGCCTGCTCGACCCGAGCATCTCTCTTTTTCTGTGATTTTACAGAGAAACAGGCAATCACAGTAAAAATGCCAGGGCTCATTCTACAGGACCAGGGCATTGCAGGAGAATGTATGAAGAAGACATTTATTATTTCTATACATGTTTTGGCTGTCACACTTCCATAATGCCCCTTTAACTGATGCACAGACGAGTCATGTTTTGCCACTAGGAGGCACTACAGTGGCAAATAAATGTATACTCAAGGAATCTGTGGAAATAATTTGTTGCCACTTAAATTTGCTTTTATAGTTGGTCTCATTTTCTTTTTGGCAACTACTTTTGTGTCATATTTGTGCTTCTGTTAAAAGAAAAATAAGTAGTTTGAAGTTATTTATACTCTGGCATCTTGGGAATGTCAGTCAGGAGAAAGTATGTAGTTATAACGTTACAAATCTAACATTTAAAATAGAGGAATTCAGTTAGATCAGCAATTAAACACACTTTGTCTGCTTTTGGTTATTCAAATTTACAGAAAGTAGGAAAATTCCTCCAGAGATGCTTTGATTGGGTGGGAGCAGTTTTATATAAGATGGGAAACTCTAGTTATTGCTTTTAGTAGATAAGGGGCCTTTTGTTCCTCTGGTACTATTAAGAAGGCACTGAGTACTTACCGTAACAGAGTCATTTATAATTATTCATTCATGTATGCAGCTTCTCCCATTAGATGCTGAGCTTTTCTGCAAAGCAACAAACAGCCTGAATAACTCAGTTCCTTTACTTTGCATAGACCTCAGCTTTTGCTGTGGTGCAGTAGTGAACACATTTGTACCTGATTGTGATTTTTGTGCTGTGTGTGTAACTTTTGTACGGATGGCAGACTTCCAGTTGTGGCTTACTTGGTCTACGTTCGACCTGCCATCTTGCTGCCAGCATCTGTTTGAATACATCTTGAGGTTCTGTTTTGGATTGATTCATGTTGTGCCACTCTCTCGCTGTCTGCAGACAGACCTGTCTCAGCGTGTCTGGCTGATATTGAAGATATTGTCCATTACAGCTGGCGTGCCTTCAGGAAGTTTAATAATAGGTACCGGTAATGCATCATGAGGAGTGGTCTTTAAAAGCCTGAATCTAAACAAAGCTCTTTTGTTTTGTTTAGATTTTTTTGGTGAGACCCAGAAGTTAAAAGCATATTTTATTCTTACATCACAGATTTGTTTTTTCATAAAGTCATTTTGGGATTAGAAACACTGACGGCTGAATTTTTCATCTGATTGACAGTTTTTGTTGTGCGGGGCTCATTTCTCTATTAGATGAATATCTTCACTTGATTAACGTTTGGAGGTTACCTGACGTGGCTTCCATTAATTAGCATTAGCAAACAAAATATGGCTTCAACTCAGTCACTTTAGCAAATATTGAGCTAGAACTCTCAGATAAGTGACTTGAAAGTGGATGGATGAGCTAGAGCTTGATTTGTTAGCTTAGAGTTATTAAAAACACACTGAGTGCCAACCACTCACACAAGATCTGCATAAAAGGAAGAAAGGGCTTAAAAATTACTTCATACATACAGTATTTGTACTTTTTGGGGCATTTTTTAAGTTGCAGTTTATTTGGAGCCACTAATGAAACAAGCATGTTTAATCTGGTTTTTAATCCATCTTGTTGTCCATCCAGAGCGAGGGAGGCGCTGCGTCAGTGTCTACCTGATCAGCTGAAGGACAGCACGTTTGCTCAGGTGCTGAAGGACGACACAACCACCAAACGCTGGCTGGCTCAGCTGGTTAAGAACCTGCAAGAAAGCCAGGTGACCGACGCCAGAGGCATCCCACTGGCTCCACAGTGATGAGGTGTGAATCCACTGTGGACACAGCTGAACTCATTTAGGATTTGTATTTTGCCAAATGTGGTGCCAAGACTGTCTTCACGCTTCAGGAAGACGTGGAGGAAGATTTTGTTCTAACTTTGTGGATTTCTTCTTGACTGGATGTGGCCAGAAGAAACTCTAGAATTTCACACCTGAGATGAATCTTTTAAAAAATAAACTTATTTAGAGATTTGCCTTTGACAATAGAAACGACTGTTGGATGCAGGAATGTGTTGGTGGGATAATAGTAACGTTTACTGAATCATGTCGTCTGTTATACATGAAAACATTTAACTCTGAGTACTTGTAACAGAATCTTGGTTAAAACAACAACATTTAGATGCTAGTATTCCAGTTTGCTGCAGTAATGCTACACACAAATCCACATCCATCATAAACTAAGTTTTCAGCTTCAAACATAACTTCAGCCGTTTGTTTTTGTCTTTGCGTTTCGCAGCAGGTTGGTGACTGTTTGTGGACCTGTTTGTACCTAAAAGTCTCCAGTTCTGAGTCAAATCTCATGGCCTCAGCTGTGATTGTTCAATATATTTTGGAAATAAACAATTTTTACAGGATGCTCTTAGATATTTGATGCTTATTAGGAGGGATCTGTTTATTTTCAGAGTGAAAATGAGCACAAATGTAGATTTTTAACAGACTTCATTATACAGAAATTTTATGAATTGATGTTTTTTTTTTACCTCTCAGAGCAGGTCTTGTCAGGTTTTTAAAACATGTCCCTGGGATGTGGTTCAGTACCTGTGCTTGCTGAGTGCTCCATCATCACAGCCCCATGGACCTCACTAATGTGAATTCATTTCCACTCACCGGCACATTACCAGATTGTTTCCCTCATGGGCTCCATTACCCTCAGTGTCTGAGATGAGCATCATGGAAACACCTGCACTCGGGACGCCCATTTGGGACATAACCTGATTGAACTGGGAGCTAAGTATGGACTGAGTTTGTGTATGTTTAGTCCTAATGAGGAGAAGGAACTGCAGCAGCTAACATCATTAGATCTGGGAACAAAAGGAATGGTGCATTAGCTAGAGCAGGCGGAGAAAGGGATGTTTCCATTTTTGAGTTATTTGTGATTCAGAGGTTTCCTGCAGAGCTAAAAGTCATGCAGAAAATTCTAATCCAGCTCTCGTCTCCTTATATTTTCCTTCCATGCAGCCAGACTTTCTTTGAATCTATAAAAGTGGTTTTGATCTTCAGACTTTCTGAGAGTACAGTAGAAGTTTCAGACTGAGTGAGGAGGGATCAGGAGGCTTGTCATTGATTACAAAGTTCTTCTTTGCCATCAAAATGAACTTAACTTGATTTGCAGCCCTAAAATATTTCAGGAAAGGGGATTTAACAGCTCTTTAGGAAACTAAAATCTTGTTTTCTGGAAGTTTTCACAAGTTCAGCTAAAGTTAAAAGGATTCCCTGGAAAATATTTTTGCACATCTCTGGCCTGAGTTATACCCATCTATGGCACGCTGCCATGTTGTTTGGTAAAGGAATTCATCAGTGTTTGTTAGATGTTTTCTGTTTCATTGAATTGTTGAGTTTGCCTATGAATAATGAATCCTGCAGACCACCTCTGATCTCTGACAGGACGAGAGGAGCCGAGATGTGCCGAGGTGAATGAGCCTGACCAGATGCATCAGTCGGTCTGAGGATGGTGGACTGAGGGAGTGGCAGGACAGGAAGGGTGGTTAGTGAGGAAGGAGGGGGAGTGGAGCAGAGCAGGCCCTGCAGGGAATCAGATTTCTCATACCCAGCAGTGAGACTGAAGGGAAGGGAGGAGCCACACCTCTAGTGTTTAAAGGCTCAAAGCAGAGCGGCTAGTACCGTGTCTCCCTGAGTCTTTCTTCCTTCAGACATCTTTGGCCTGAAGACCACCCTCCTCTAGCCATAATTCCCTGGTAAGTACCATCTGTTTTCACATCTAACTTAAATGAAAATGATGTCTTTCTGAGTCATTCACTGTTTCTGTCTGCCCCAGGTTCAGATTTACAGTAAATATCCTGCAGAATTTCTAAGAGTTGTGCTTAACTGGACTTCATTCCTTGTTGGATGCTGCTGGTTGTTATGACACATTCATTGTTCCTCACTATCCCGTCAGATGTCCCTCTGAGTAATGACTCTGTGCAGTCTTTAATCTCTGATGACTCAAACCCTAAAATAAAACAACTAAACTGCAACTGAAAACTTTAAATTTTGAGTCTGGAAAAGGGTGTATTAAAAAACCTTCATGGAAAATAAAAGTGACGCTGCTGCTCTGTAGGGAAGCAGAAAAACAATAGAAACTTGCAGGAATCCACAAAAGAAAGAGCTGTGGAAAGTAAAGCGTCACGTTTCCTTAGAGGGATGTTAAAATGAGAAGCTGCTGCAAATGGATTGGTTTCATGGTGTTGTGGTGTGAAACTCGTAAAGCTGCCAAAGGAAGCTGCAGCTCCGCGATATTAAACAAGCAGAGCACAATGAAAGGAAAGGACCAAGGTCCACCGGCAACACGGAGCCTTTCCTGTCTGGATCAGTTTGATCCTTGGAGAACATTGATATCAGGAGATGGTTAGATTTCACTGTGAAGCTGCAGGTTTACAGATCATTTCTCCTCTGCTGTGTCAGATTCTTTCCTTTTGATGAGACAGAAGAAACTCTGGAAGCAGATGTTCTTTAGCTGACCACATTAAAATATACTGAGATACATTTAAAACCATTTACAATAATAAATGAAACAAACCCAAAATGGTGTGGATAAAAATATTGTCATGGCTTAGACAGTGCATCAACCACTTGCATAAAGACAACATGGACAAGCAGTGCTGCTATAAAAGCAGAGAAAAGCTGCTACAGGAGCCCAAAGGTCCAAACAGAAGTCAATGCAGACAAAATGTGTTTTGTCAGGAAAGTGTGTGTGTGTGTGTGTGTGTGTGTGTGTGTGTGTGTGCATGCGTGCGTGCGTGCGTGCCAGTCTTACACAAAGTATGGATTAAAACATTTCAGCTCATGTTTTAAAGCTGGAAACAAAACCGGAAGGTTTCCTTCTCTGTGGATTTTTAGAGCTGCTGCAGCATGTATCCTGGTGAATAAGTGTGCTGCTGGTTTAAATCCGTTCTGCTTTAGTCATGAACAGACTGCTGAGTAGGAGAGGTTTTGCTGAGTCAGCACTCAGGCTACACTATCCCCTCTGCTAATGACAGATTCGATTGCTGCGTTGGCTTTCCTGAGTTATTTAAAAAACTAAACCTAAATCTTCACCACCATTTTACTGCACACCTGATTATAGTACAACACAATGGGGTGGCTGGTTTCCTCGCTCTGGGGTCAGATGTTCAAGGCATTGTGGGTAAAGTGTGATTGTGGGGAAAACTATTATAGTCCTAAGTTGTCCAGCTGTTATATTATTGTTAACTGATAATAAAAACAAAATATATATAATGTAAATACGAATAAATAATAGTTGGAAATTAGAATTTCATTTTTGATTATGTTATTCAAGGGAATATGTGTTTATCGGTAATCAATGAGTCACGGCTTCTCTGGGATTGATTGGCAGTACCTTAATTCTCCACTAGGGGGGCGCATCTGAAATCGCTTTGTGATTCTCCCGTTTTTCGGGTAAAAGTGATCAAAAGGCTTGTAATCTGTTTATTATTAAGACATTTTATAGCACACCCTTTCTTGTTTTGTGAACTTTAGAAGCATTTAATCATTTTATGAGTAGTGATGGTTTGGTTTTAGCGGTTCAGCTCTATGTTTATGTTTATTTATTTGGCAGACGCTTATCCAAAACGACTTACAATTTATAACCTGTAGGGCATGCTGTGATCTGTGGGGGAAACCGGAGTACCCGGAGGAAACCCACGCATGCATGGGGAGAACACGCAACTCCACGCAGAAAAGCCGCAGCCGAGTTTCTAACCTGCGACCTTCGTGCTGCGAGGCAACAGTGCTAACCACTGTGCCACCATGCAGTTCTAACCGTTGGAATAACGGCTGGAGCTTTAAACGTCATTTATCTGTGTAAAAATATAGATATTTAGCTATGTAATTATTTATTTATTTGCTATTTTATTGTGGAGACAAGTAGGAAAGTCTCAAGTGAACGGTTTATTAGTTTTTTATTTATTGATTACATGTTAGGCTACTGTGCAATGCATATATGTTGGGAGCCCTATAATCAACAGTTGTGTCGTCGTTACTTTTTTGTTCGTAAGTTAGATCTTTTACTGTGTAACAATAAAAAATGTAAATACTGTTTTGTTCATTAGGACTGCATTAAATCACGCATCTGAGAATCACTTTGGAGAAATCACGTCTTCCCTGTTATCAGGGGTTTCACAAAAGTTCTACACCTCTGAGAAATTAGTAAAATTAAAATTTTTTGGAATTATTTGCATATTAGAAAGATTTTCCTTCCCTGTAATCTCTTAAAAAGTTTTTCAGAGATCGTAGTGCTTTTTACTTGCTATTCTCCATAATGACACCTGACCATTAGTGTGCTGTTCAATGCTTAAAGACATTTCTTTGAGGAAATTGGACAAACCAAAACATTCTCTCCAGCAGAGGAACAGTATTGAGCTTTAAACATGAATATCGTTAACAAATCCAGCAAATTCCTAAGGAATGGGTCTCCTCCAGCTGACTGATGGCCGACAGCCCTGTGGGGATGACCTGGTTGTAGAAAGTCTGAAGAACAATTGATCAAAACCACTTTAAAAGATTACAGGGAAGTCTGGCCGCTGGGAAGGAAAATGATCAGGACTGGATCAGAATTATTTTCCTGGTATCTAACTGGGTGAACGTTGAGCTTTTTTGCTTTTACAGCTGCTCGTCTCCACCGGAATGTTTCAGGGATAAAGATGGATCCCGAAGGTTCATGTGAGTTCTCCCTCAGACTGCAAGTCTGTTGTAATTCATGATTTCTAAGTTGTTGCTGTCAGTAGGCACTGAAGATGATCCTCATGTCAAGCTGATGATGGAAGGCTCGACTCTGAGGAAGGTCAAGTCCCGCTTCTGGAAGAAGCAGCGGCATTTCCGCCTTCTAGAGGACGGCCTGACAATCTGGTACAAGTCTGGATGGGCGGGGAAAGGCCATTCCAAGTGTGAGTGCAGAAGCAACTTCTTGACATCTTTTTTTTATTTATCAAATGAGCCATCAAAGTAAAGCACAGTAGGCTGTTTGAATGGATAAAACGCCGACTGATGCCAGACCAACTTTAAAAACTGAATGTGTCTGATGTTTAAGGTAAAATACTCCATCAGTCTTTCAGTGTGTTGTTATTTGATAAACTGTCTATCCATGTTAGAAAATAAAGAGATTAGATTGGAGATTAAAAGGATAAAGGGTTTTGTAGTCGGTAACCTCCGTGTGTCTTCAACAAATGTTGAGCCTGAACTCCTTTAGAAGTTCAGACAGACACGGGGACAGAACCAAACCCAGGAATTACACTTGAGTAGCGATGATGATGGTGAGTGACGAGGGCTGAGGCAGCTGAAGGCGTCAGACTGGATGGCGTTGTTCTGCATCTTCGAGACGTGGAGCTGATGTGGGTGGTAGATGTCCAGATTAGAGATGGAAGAGTTGCACGGATCAAAGGTCAGGAGAGAAGGATTCAGGAGATTAAACTCTAAATGTAAAAAGTCTTGTGAGAGTAACTCCTTAATCTGGCAATCAGTCATCCCTGTTAAACCTTCTTTCTTTAGTCTTTATCGGACTAAATGGATCAAAAACGATTTCTAATTTCTCTCCGATTACAATTCGATGTCTCAGTCTCCGTGTCGGATTTGGAAGCGGTACGCGAGGGCCACCAGTCCGAGGTTCTGCTGAGCATCGCTGAGGAGTTTCCTGCTGAGCTTTGCTTCACCCTGGTGTTCCACGGTCGCCAAGGCAACCTGGACCTTGTGGCCGAGACCCCAGATGAGGCCCAAGCCTGGATCCAGGGAGTCCGGAAGCTGATCCACAAAGCCCAGAACATGGATGAGCAGGGAAGGCAGGACCAGTATCTTTAACGACTTCAGGGCTGGTTCTGACTTTTGGTTTATGTCACACCCTCCTCTCTCTGAGATGTTCCTGAACCTCCTCTCAGATGGGTCCGGGACTGGTTTCTGAAGGCTGACAAAAACAAAGACGGGAAGATGAACTTTAAAGAAGTAAAGAAGCTGCTGAAGATGATGAATGTGGACATGAATGAAGACCACGCTCTTTGTCTCTTTACGGTAAGGATCCGATCTGAGGACCTTCAACGTGCTAGAGGGCAGACTGAACATCGATCATTTTAATGACAGACGGACCCTAGTCCCGTCTCTGTCTTTTGAAAAGATTTTAGTAAAAAGAACTTCTTCTCAAAATGAATATGAAAGATTTGGCTGTTTGGAAGTGAAACATCAAGAAATAAGAGATAAACAACAAATATGCATCAAGTAGAAGATATGTTGTTTATTGTTTATTTCTACAGATGGCGGATAAATCAGAAACTGGCTATTTGGAAATCGAGCAGTTTGTTCACTTCTATAAGATCCTGACCCAGAGAGACGAAGTCTGGAAGGTGTTCCAGGATTACTCTGGGGATGGAGAAATACTGACGCTGGAGGAGCTGGAGTGCTTCCTGAGGGTGGAGCAGCAGGAAGGACAGCATAGTTGCCATCGTGCCGAGGAGCTAATTCAGCGTTACGAACCTTTGGAATCAGGTACATTTTATTATACAACACCAGCATTAACTAGTGACCCAGAAGCTGCTATTTAGTGATCAACACCTTTCAACCCATCCATCAATTATTATTTGCAGCCATATTTAAAAACAGTTCTACAGATGGTCAGAAGTCTTTATTAATATTTTACATCTTAACTTCTTTCTTTATGTTGAAGTAACTTTACTTCATCCTTGGTGCAGCTAACTTATGGGATTCCTCAGGGATCAGTCCTTGGTCCCTTTTCTTTGTTATTTCTATGCTTGTTCATGTATCACATTTAAAATTGCACGACACATAATCATGATTGTTGTTAGAAAATGCAGCAAACTGGGAAGCAGGTCATTTCTTTCAGGTTGTTCATACTTCTGCTTCTTGTCCTCTTGATGACTTTACTGAGACATCTAATCTTGTTACCAGGACTAAACAGCACACGTCAGATTTTATGTTCATGTTAAAGTCTTACTGCTCTAAACATTTAAGGGTAAATATTACCACGACCCATAAATGACACCCAGCTCATCGTTCCTGTTATTAAAGTTCTGCACTGCTGAGTACATCCTAGGATTATTAATCAGTGCTACACTATTATTTTATTGTTATTAATACACAAACTGCTGATTATTATCTTAATCTCTGTGAAGCTGTGAACCAAAGTGCCATGACCATGGATGGCTTCCAGGCGTACCTGTGCTCCCTGGATGGCTCCATCTTTAAACCTGAGCTCCTGGAGCTCCATCAGGACATGACTCAGCCCCTCAGCCATTACTTCATCTCCTCCTCCCACAACACCTACCTCCTGGAGAACCAGCTGACAGGACTGAGCAGTTTGGAAGGCTACATCCAGTACGGGCTGCCTCAAATAGAGACGAGTGATTAAAACTATATGGGATACGTTGGGTCATAGATGAAACAGAGAAGAGTTTTAATAGAAAGTCAGTAATAAAAGTGCAAATTAGTGAGTGTTTATATGTCTGTAGGGCCCTGAAAAGAGGCTGTCGCTGTGTAGAGGTGGACAGTTGGGACGGGGATGACGGAGAGCCTGTTGTGTATCACGGCCACACGCTTACTAAAAAAATCCTCTTCAAAGATGTTATTTTGACTCTCAGGGATTACGCCTTCAAGGTAAGGAAATTAACCGGTTCCTGTTTTTGTTTTCCCCTCAACAGAACTGCTCAGTGGTCTTTTGATTATCGAGCATGCTGGGATTCTGGATTAGCCACTAATTAAGAGACAGGAACTTGTAATGTACTTGAGCCGCCGCACAGTAGGCAGAATAAAACAAATCCTTAATACTTATCCAGACTTGGTTGTTGGTGATCCTCAAAACAGCCAAAAATTACTCTGAAATATTATATAACAACAAAAATAACAGTACCTTTATTTTCTAGGTGTCAGAGTTCCCCGTCATCGTGTCTCTCGAGAACCACTGTTGCTTGGAGCAGCAGACTGTCATGGCCAACCACCTTCGCCAGATCCTTGGTGACATGTTGCTAACTGCTCCTCTGGATGGACAGATCCCTGAACGTCTCCCTTCACCGCAGGTCACAATCTTGTCAGTTTGACCAAAGCTGCTGTGACTTCATCATTCCTCAACTTAGTTTAAAACTCTGGAATTTAAAAATTCTCACCCTTTTTTGAATGTTTTCATTCTTTCTCAAGGACAATGGACAGACAGATAGATCGTGTTTATTGTTTATTACAGGATAAACCAAATGTTGTAAAGTAAAATTAAAATAATGTAAGTAAACAAGAAAAAAAGCTAATATCTATTTATTTTGAACATTCCCAGAAACATTTGATCATTCGTGGTTCTACTGCATTCACTCATAAACCTCTTTAAAAATAGCAGGTGAACTTCAGTATATTGGATATTTTAAAGATTTATGCTAAAAGCACTAACATCATTCAGAGGCTCTTCTCCATCAGAGCACTTAAAATAATCAATGTTAACTTGGAGCGATGCGGAGTCCTGTGCAGGTTTAGTCAATAATGTTGCAGTGCAGCATTTAGTTAGGAGCAACAAGACGGAGCACCTCCTGTTGCTTTGCTGTGGACAACCGACAGCTCTCTCTCGCTCTGTGTGTTTTACAGCAACTGAGGGGGAAGATTTTACTCAAAGCCAAGAAAAGTGGCGGTCTGGAAACGCGTCTCGATGAAACTCTGGCATATGAAGCCAGTGATGAGGAGGAGGTGGCTGATGGGGACCCGGAGAGCCCGACCTTAAAAGATCCACAAGCAGAGGAGAACAAGGTGAGTTTAGCTTTTTATTAGAATTAAAACTCAGTACTTAATTATTTATTAAGAATTCTGACATTGCATCAGGGCCACTCTGGTGAAAGAACAAATCTTTTATTGTATTAAGCTTTTAGAGTCTGTGTGAAGCACTGGAGAAAGTTTGTCGTAGAATCTACAGAAGAAGTAATAACATAAACCAGTTATTGATGTGAGAAGTGGCTTGCCATGAGAATAAAGAATCAAAGGTGTAAATAAATATTAAACACAAAGGTATCTAGAAACCAAAAGTTGCTTTTTATAAATTAAAATATAAACCCAGTTTAGCTGTGGTTTTTAATGCTTGTGCACACTAATTTAATATCACGTCCCGTCCTCTCGCAGAAGTCCAAACTGTCCCGGGAGCTCTCCGACTTGGTGGTTTACTGTAAAAACGTGCGCTTCCAGGGCTTTGAGCAGGCCCGGTCCAACGCTACGTGTTATGAGATATCTTCATTCTCTGAATCCAAAGCAAAGAGGCTTTCTAAGGAAGCAGGTATCTAAATGACGTGGATACATGCTGGATTGATTTGAACAGGACTCCTACATCCTACAGCTGTAATGATTTGCTGTTGGTCCAGGGGCAGAGTTTGTGAGGTACAACTCTCAGCAGCTGAGTAGGACCTACCCCAGTGGCATGAGGACCGACTCCTCCAACTACAATCCTCAGGACATGTGGAGCACAGGCTGTCAGATCGGTAAGAGGAGTGGTGCAGTGAGGTGCAACAGCTTATTTGTCTGAATAAAAACACATCCATGGACTGTTTACTCTGTGATGGAGTCAGAATAAACAGATGTTTCCTGTAACTTTAACTCTCACTGGCAGAGTCTGCTCAGATGTTTCCACTCCGACAGCCAGACAAAGCCTGGAAGATGACGTGATGCAGCCAAACTAACAGAAAATGAAAGTTAAGTCGATTAACTTTTTCTGTTTTTCCTCAAAGTGGCTCTAAACTTTCAGACAGCTGGTCTGGAAATGGATCTGAATGATGGGTTCTTCAGGCAGAACGGCTCCTGTGGGCTCATCCTCAAACCGGACTTTATGAGAGACGCCAACAGTCGGTTCAGCCCAGAGAAACCAGAGGAGAGACCAGGCTACAAGCCGCTACGCCTGTCCATACAGGTTTGATGCACAAATACAACTAAAAGCTATTAAGTACAGACAAGAAAAGAAACATCTAAACATCTAAACATCTAACAAACAATCAGAAGATTTTTTCTTCTATCTGCTCCTTTTCATTCAAATGTTTTTTTTCAATATGTTAATGTATGTTGTATTTGTTTGTGTTTATTTTATACATTGTGAATGAAATAAAAGATTAAAAGAAAACAAACATCTAAACTAGGGCTGCACGATACTTCAATAGATCCACAGATCTATCGATAGACATGTGCAATAGAAAAAAGAATGGGTCGAGAAAACTTTGATAAAAAAGTTTCCTTTTATCGTTAGAAGCTATCAGGTAGCTGCATACTAGACTCACTACTTACTCCTAACCAATCAAAACCACAGACTCGGGCACGCTACATCACCAGGCCCCTCCCCCTCTCAAACCAAACAGAGCATGAGGCAGCAACATGTCACAGCGAGAAGAGGCAGAGAAAAAGTATAAAAACCAAAAATAAAATGGCCAGGGCTGCACGTGAAACATATTTTCTACAATTTAAATTTTTTTTTACAAGAATTATCGATATCGATCAACATAGAAATGTGTTATCGATATACTTTTTTTATATTGTCCATCCCTGATCTAAACATGTGTTTCAGGTGATCAGTGGGCAGCAGCTGCCAAAGGTGAACATGAAAGAAGGTTCGATAGTTGACCCGCTGGTCAGAGTGGAGATCTTTGGAGTACCAATAGACCAGGTCAAGGCGGAGACCAGTCACATCAACAACAACGGTGACACACCAGTCCCATCACTAACCCCGGCTTTCCACCGGAGCCGTTATCAGCACGTCATAGCTGCTGATAGGAACCGCTGTGGTCAACAGAACCTTTTCCACCGGAGCCGTCAGCAGCGCGAGTCGGCCGCGTCTCAGGAGCAGCATGTCGCGACCTTTACGCGCCGGTTCTATTTTCTACGCGCGACGCCTCTGAAACAGGTCAAGTTCGACATTTTCGGGGAAGGAAAGACAGGAAATCGGACGTGGAAATGGAGAGAAGCTCCCGAGATTTTCAGAATAAAGAACGTACTGCCTTCCGGTTGCTTTACTTTTAAAAAAGGTTCCTAACTGTGCGGCCCCGTGAGAAGTTATCACCTAGCTAGCGGTCTCCTTTATTTTTCAGGTCCGTATTGGTGATTATAAAACGGACAGAACATAAAACACAAACCATGTTGTAATTTTCTCCTGCTTGTTGTTGTGTTTACTGACGAAGTCACTCGTGTGACTTCGTGCTCCGTCGGTGACAGCTGCTCCCCTGCTGCTTCGCGTCTCGTGGGAAGGGCCAAGCAGCAGCTTACGCGAGCAAGACGTGCTGCTGCAGTAACGTGCTGCTGCAGTAACGTGCTGCTGCAGTAACGTGCTGCTGCAGTAACGTGCTGCTGCAGTAACGTGCTGCTGCAGTAACGTGCTGCTGCAGTAGCGTGCTGCTCCCGTGGAAAGCCGGGGTCAGACTGTGAGGACTAGAACATGAGGTCATCCTCACCTGCTGCTGTCTCACCTGCAGGTTTTAACCCAGTTTGGAACCAAACTCTGAATTTCATCATCCATGTTCCTGAGCTGGCGCTGGTCCGCTTCGTGGTGGAGGACTTCGACATGACAACGAAGAACGACTTCATTGGACAGTTTACTCTTCCCTTCACCTGCATCCAGCCAGGTGAGCAGGACACACTCCATCTCGTTACCGAGCTTTAGTTCTGATTGTAGAAATCCAATCTTTTTTAGGATACCGTCACATCCATCTGCTGAGTAAAGACGGGACGCCCATCCCCCCCTCCTCCCTCTTCGTTAACGTCAGTATTTCAGAGCTGACATGAAGAGGCCAAACCCAGAGGAAGGTCCTGGATCTCTAAAAACCTGACGGAGAACCGTACGGATCAAAGACCTGATGTTTGAACTTTGTCTTCATGAGTTAGAATCGTTTTATCCTTTAGGTTTTTCTGATGTCTAGTTTTATTCCACGCTACTTTTCAGGAGTCTGATTAAAACATGGTATACTGGTGACACCTGAATGAATCCAAACCTGAACAACAAACCTGAACTCGAAGCAATAAAAACACATTTAGTTTAATTTGATCCTAATTTGACACAGAAAAGTGTAAAAATCCTGGTCTGAATGAAAAACAGGAACATCTGCTGCATGTTGCCTAAATGTTTGTTGGAATAACAGCTGTGGAAGTTTATCGTTTCCATTTATACAAACAAACAAAGCTGCCAGGTGTCGTGTTATAGACGCTGCGTGATTAATCCACTGTTGAGCTGCAGAGTGCCTGTCTGTTTACTAATGTTAAAGAAACACGATTATGGGATGGAAATGTGTGCAAAGGCCTGTATTGTAATTGGTTTAGTGCATAGCTCTCTCTTGCTGATCGCTGACAGAGAAAAGGTCAGAGGTCATTTCTTGTTTTTCTGTACGATTACATTTAACAGGCAATAAAAAACCGTAGAGAATCTTTACCGTCTCTCTGAAGTTTACATCGCTGCCGCACACTCACGAATGTCTCCGTCCTCATTGGCTGCTCCTTGCGATGCTTCCTTTCCTAGCGTCCCCTGCAGAGCCTCTTTCAGCGTGAGACCACCACCCTCAGGATCTCTCCGCACTCCCAGCTCCACCGACGCCTCTGGATGGTGCCTCCGCAGGTGCTTCACCACCTGGAACTTCTGCTTGGCTCTGTAGGAGCAGTGGCAGCAGCTGAAAGGCTGCTGCTTGGTGTGGGACAGGTAGTGATGCCTGAGACCCGCCGGCCATCGGAAGGACTTCTGACAGAGTCCACACGCGTACGGCCGGTCGTCGCTGTGCTCCCGCTGGTGGGTCTTCAGCACGAAACTTGTCTTGAAGGCTTTGCCACATTTCTCGCAGATATAGAGACGCGTCTGGCAGTGCTGTGTGTCCCGGTGCACCCGGAGGACGTCCGCTCTGTTGGTCCGGTATTCACACTCATCACATCCGTACGGTTTCTCTCCTGAAAACGGCAAAAACTACAATTTCACCAGGAGATCAAAATCAACAAATATGAAAACTATTCATCAATTTAATTCAAGCAAAGAAACAAGACTTTATAGATTAGGGGCTTAATCTAATTTAATCTGCACCTGTTTTCGTGTGCGGCTGATACCTGTGTGCTTGGTCATGTGGTACTTCAGCTGAGTCGCCCACTTGCACTTGTAGCCACACTCTGGACAGAGGTACTTCTTCTCTTCTTGGTGAACTCTCATGTGAAGCTTTGGTAGAAACGAGTGAAAGGTTCTGTCACACAGGCGTTAGTGAGACCAAAACACACTAATCCCACCTTGCTCAGGCCATGTTTACCCACACTTTAGCAGGATTTTAGCTGCCCTTGGATTTTATGTCAGCCAACTTGGATTATATTTAACCCCCTAATCTTCTCTAACACAGCTCTGGCTGTTTTAATCTGAAGGACTACAGCTTGCAGTCTGAATGGTGAACCCTAAACAGAAAGCAGGACCGAGCCACCGTGTGTGTTTGTCCCCTCCATCATTACCTTTAACCTAAAGGGATCCGAGCACGCGTAGCTGCACCTCTCACAACCGTACGGTTTCTCTCCTGTGTGAATACGAATGTGCCACGTGATCTTCTGCTTGTTTCGGGTCTCGTACTCGCAGTCCGTGCATTTGTACAAGCGCTTGGTTCCATGTGAGCGCAGGTGCTGCTCCAGAACCAGCCGATGCCGACAAGCGAACTGACAAACGCTGCACCTGAGAGGTTTGTCCTCCGAAGGCCCCTCCTCGTGTTCACTCAGGAGGTGCTGGGCCAACAGCTGCCGGGTTTTGGCTGTGAAGCAGCAGCACTGACACCGATGAGGCAGGTGAGTTCTTTGGTGGACCTCGAGGCATTCCTTTGTCTCGAAGGATTCCTGGCAGGTGGTGCAATTCACCTCGGGGTGTCTGTCCAGTTGGTGGTTCTTCAGAACCACGTCACTGCTACAGGTGAAGTCACATTTCTTGCATGAGAACCGGGCCTGGAGCTGATGCACACGCTTGCAGTGGTTTCTCAAAGCGATCTCAGAACTAAACCGAGAGTCACAATGAGTGCAAACATCCTGCAACTCCCCGGTGTGACATCTGCGGTGGTGTCGTTGGACATCGTCCAGCGTGCAGCCTCCGAAGTCGCACCGGGAGCAGGAGTATGACGGCTGCTTGTCGTGGACCCGCTTCTTGTGCTGACGCAGTTTGGACATGGCACCAAAGGTCTTGTTGCACGTGTCACAGCTGTGACGGCCAACTCCCGTGTGCAGAGATTCGTGCTCCTCCAGGCGGTAGCGCCTCGTGGTGCCGAAGGGGCAGAACCGGCAGCGATGAGGCCCAGAACCTTTGTGCTTAAGTGATAAATGATGCTTCATGGATCGCTGCTGTCTACAGCTGAAGACGCAGAGCTGGCACTGCAAACGTTTTGGTGGATGATCTAGTTTACTGCTTTCACCAATCTCATCCACATGCTCCAGATTCGTTTCCCTGCAGGTAGACAGGTGTCGTCTGACTGTCCGTAGCTGCAGGGAGGAAAAGCTGCACAGCTGGCACCTGAATCTCCCGCCTGCTTTAACGTAAAGCCTTTGTGTGGGTGTGGGGGGACATTCTGTCGGAACCTGATCTGAACGTCCTCCTCCTTCCACTCGCTCAGATCCTGAAGCAGAAGGTTCTCTTGGGGTGAAACGTGGATTTGAAACATCTGTGGACGTTCTGGTCTCGCGTGGAAGCGCCGAACACTTCTTGAGGTGGAACTGGAGCCCTCGTCTCTGTTTGAACTCCACTCCGCAGGCCTGGCACTCATGTGCCTTAATCCTGCCAGTGCACACAGCTCTGCGGTGATGTCTCAGAGCAGTCTCCTTGCATGTTACATACGAGCATTTGTCACAGCAGTAAACCTCTTCAGACGGCACCACGAGCATCCGGACCCGCCCCTCTAGAACCATGGCTTCTGCTTGCTCCTTGTCAAGTTCCTTTAGAGCTTTCAGACGAATCTCTGCTTCTGGCAGCTGGTTTTGATCATTATTTTCCACTTCATGTGTCTGGTCTTCTGTATTTGTGAAACTCTCTTCACTTTGCACGTTCTCTTCCTCCAGCGAGCTTGCAAGCATCGATGGGTCTGATCTTTCGGGTCTGCAGCTATCCAAGGATGAAACACTTTTGCAGTTTGCATCCTCCGTTTGTGAAACTTCTGTTTGGTCTTCAGCAGTTGTTAGTGTGGTCAGCACAAGGGTACAGTACGGTACAGCGCTTTCACTCACAACATCCTGAGAACCATCAAAAACAAAATTCCCAGCTCGTCCAGCGGCAGCTGAGATGAGCTGAGCTTCGGATCCACAGGTGGGCTGTTCAGGGAGTTTATGATCTACAGACGATTTCACATAAAAACCCTGCATGAACTTGGCAGAACTCCGCTCCTTTTCCTTTGCTGCGTAGTTCTCCAGCCATGCCTTGTCCCCGGGGACATACCCGTGGACTTTCCTCTTGTGCAGGAAGAGGCTGATGCTGCTGAAGGACGAATAGACACAGAGGGCACAGTGAAACTCCTTCAGCTTGGTGTGTTTGCAGTTCTCGTGGTTCTGCAGTGCTTGCCGGTAGCAGGTCGTGTACGTACAGTATTTACACCTAAAGGCAGCGCGCGTCTTCTCCTGTCCACAGTGTTTGGCCAGCATGTGGTTGCGAAGCTCGCATTTGCGCTTGCAGGCGTAAGCGCAGATCTCACAGATGAGCGATTCAGCTTGATGCCGTAATTTGTGGCTCTTTAGTTGGTCCATGCGGTGACACTGATAGGAGCACTGATCACACGAATACCTGCCAGAGGAGACAGGAAGTTCATTCAGAACACCAAACCAAAATTACTTCAGCAAAGCTGCTAGAAGAGCTGACAGGAGGTGAAGACTTCTTTTGTCCTTTCAAAATAAAAGTCATGCCTAATGTAAAGATAGTTTTCTTTTTCCAACTGCAGCCTGGACAAAATCGTAACAAATCACAAACAGGACTTTGCTCATTTAGAACGACAAACAGCAAAGCTGTTGCAGGCACCTGGAACCTCGCTTGACCCAGTTTCTGAACTTTGAGACAACATTAGGAGGGTTTACGGTAGACTCCCTTTCCTGGGGGGCCGGTATCCGGCAGGTTTTAGTTGTGTCCCTAATCCAGCTCACTTGATTCACAGCAGCTCATCAGGTTCTGCAGAACCCCGATAATCACCTGCTGGTTAAAATCAGGTGTGTTGAAGGAGGAAAACAGTCAAACGTGCTGGATACCGGCCCTGCAGGTCCAGGATGGAGAACAAGTCAAGTCTTTTTCCGTTGTTGAGATTAGAAACGTGACCTGGGGTCCCTGACTACCTGAGATCTCCTGCATGTTTCCTCATGTGGACGGTGAGATAGTGTTTCCACTTGGTGACGTAACCACATTCAGCACACATAAAGTTCTTCTCGTCCTCGTGGGTCAGCATGTGTTTAGAGAGGTAGGACTCGTCTCTGCACCTGAAATCACAGAGGCTGCACTTGTGGGGCTTCTCACCTGGAAAATAAACAACGCAAAAGAAAACAGTGGTGAATATAAGGGCTCCACCTGAGAGGGCAACATCTCTGAGGCCGTCCTTACTGCTGTGCATCAACACGTGTCTCTTCAATCCACGCTTATGTGAGGTGACGAAGCTGCACTGAGAACAGCGGTGGATCTTCTCGTTGGCGTGTAAATGTCCAACGTGCTGCTCAAACTCCATGGGGTTAAAGGTGTCAAAGGGGCAGAAGTCACAGCAAAGCCTCTCGTTTCCAGAGTGGCCGAGTCTCCGGTGCTGCAGGAAGAGGGATTTATTAGAGCAGGCGAAGCGGCAGTCCGAGCAGTGGTAGGCCAGGTGAGTTCGATAATGAGCCTCCATGTCCTCGTGGCACCTAAACACGGCGCCACAGGCGTGGTGACGACACTCTGCCGCTTTGATGCCGTGCACCTCAGAGGCGTGTTTGAGAAGATCTCTACGAACAGAACTTTGGAAAGCACAACCTTCCTGGAAACAGTCCAACGGTGTGCAGTCTGACAGGACGTTGTGTGTCTTCATGTGAGCCTTTAGGGCCCTGCTCTGGTGAAAACTTTGACCACACGTTGGACAGAGGAAGCTCTGACTTTTCATGGTGTCCTCTGAATCCACTGAATGCACGCTGGCAACATGGCGGCGGATGGCGTTCCTCTCCACAGCAGAATAGTCACACAAATGGCAGCGATGGGTCTTCTCACCAGCCTCGCGGAGTCTGTGCAAGCGCAGCTTGCTCTTACTGGTGAAGAAGCGGTTGCAGGTGGGACACTGGAGGCTGGGGTCGGGGAAGTGTAGACGCAGATGTTCCTGCAGGTGAGAGCGCATCTTGAAGCAGCGGCGACATTTGGGGCAGGTGTGGGTGCGATAAGTGTTCTCAGTCCCCTCAGCAAGGTACTCTAAAGGACAAGAGGAGTTTGTTTTGTAAAGGTTTACATCCGTAACACACTCCTGTAGGAGAAGAGATGAAAACAGGCCAGTTTTAGTCGCAAAAGCACTTGTGTATCTTCTTACCTTTGGATGGCAGAGGAGCTGCATGTGGTGATGAAGAGATGTTGTTTTCTACTGACGTTCTCAGACGTTTCCTGGATGTCGACTCAGTCCCGTTTCCTAAACACAAACAGAAAACAGCAAACAAAAGAAATCCTGCTCCACCACAATTCAACATGAAAAGCAAAAGAAAAAACCCGCACGCCCAATGACTTTGTGCACAGATGTTTTTACCTGGGCTGTTCTTGGCCAGATGGTTGTGTTCCAACAGATGCACTTTCATGTTTTTTGCATTTTGAGAGACAAACTGACAGTGAAAGCACCCAAATGGCATGTGGCTTCTGCGGTGCTTTTCCATGTCTCCTTGTGTGAGAAATGATGATTTACAGGAGCTTTCGGAGCAGGGGATGAGCTTCAGACCGTGTGTCGACACCAGGTGATCCCGGTAGTCCCGATGGTTCGAGCAGCTGAACTGACAGTGGCACTCCAAGCAGGTGAATGGGCCTCTGGACTCGTGGTCTTTGTGTTCATTTTTAAAGTGTTTTTTTAGATCCAGTGGCTTAGAGAAAACCTGATTGCACTGAGAACACCTGTAGCTGTCTAACATGTGTTTACTGCATGGAGCTGATGGTCCCATCTCAGGGAAACTCTGATGTCCTTGTGTCTCCATCATGTCTGAAAACAAGTAACATGATCATATGAATTTAGACCTCAACGTTTTTTACACGTCTTGCATTTAAATTAATTTTCAGTTGAGTCAATAAGCCTGAAAATGAAAAGTATTTATTTTCAAATCACAGGTTGTTAAATATATTACAAAAATTTCTATTTTGCTGTTTTAATTGTACAAGTTGATATTAAATAAGTAGTTATAAACCGAGTAAAACACATTCAATCTGTTTTAACCCTCCCACTGTCTTCATGGGTGACCCCGCAAGGAAAGTTGACCATTGAGCAGGGTTGATGGTTTATCCCTTGTGTCCATGTGGCAGGGGTGAGGTGGTGGGTGAGGAGTGAGAACCACCTCACCCCTGCCACATGGACACAAGGGATAAACCATCAACCCTGCTCAATGGTCAACTTTCCTCGCGGGGTCACACCCATTAGGACAGTGGGAGGGTTATAGGTTTCTGGGGAAAAGGATTAGATTTATAACATGATTTTTGCTATGTGATATAATGAATGAGACAGACAGACAGTATGATTGTAAAATAATAAAATGCTTACATCAGAAACTGGATCTGCTGGCAGACCTACCACCTGTGTTTTCACTGGATTTTCTGACAAACAAAAGACCAATCCGCCGGGATTTCCTCTCTGCTCCGTTAACCCAGATTTTATCTTTAGGGTTTAGTATACACTAAACGTCACAGAAGTTTAATTTACTCTTAACTCTAAACAGTTTAAACCGGTTTAAACACGCTATAATAAACACTGTTATTGTTAGCTAGCTTGTGTTAGCTAACTTGTTGTGAGCATAGAAATAAATTAACTAGATCCCTCGCCCGTGCTGTTCGTCAATGGACCCTGACGTCAGTACGCGGCGGCCATCTTACTTCGGACAGCTGCCCTCTTAACACTGGTGTTTAGTGGTGCATGCACTATTTAAACAACTCTTAGCTTTCTCAATTTTCAACCGATTTTCATACGGTTTGGTTTTTTAGAAACATTAGAGACATGGCTATGAAATTTCAGTTTTGGCAGGAAACCCCTTATTTCACTCCACTTTACAGCCGTTTTCCCCCATCCTGTCAATTTCCCAGACTTACCATTTTAATGTCAACAAGATCCGCTTCTGATGAACTAGCTGTAGTTTGTAAACTGAGGTCAACTTATAAATATAAGTTTTAAGATACCTTATAACTTATCATATCAACTTATAAATAAAAACTCAAATACCTGATTGAATTTACAGAAAATAGTAAAACAAAAAAAATTAATACACATGTGACAGGATGCTCACACTGTCACAGTGTGAGCATCCTGTCACACACAGAAGCAGCAAACAAAATTTTAAGTTAAAACACCCAGTCCACAAAACAAAACTCTAGAACCTCAATGACTGAGAAAATATTTAGTTGTGAGTGCTTACCGGTGCTTACAAATAGAAAGACCCGGATGCTGAACAGGCAATGTTTTTATACCTTTTCCGGATGGTTTGCGCCTTTTTCAATAAATGAAGTGAATATCTTAACAAATCCCATAAAACACAAGACATGTTAAATTGTTACAATTTTGATGAGAACGCAACCTTAAGTTAAGGTGGACAATAATTCATTTTTGAGCTATTTGCTGAGGGAATTTTTGTTGCATGTTCGGAAGTACAAAGCAGCAAACTATCTTGCAACTTTTTTCTTTGGCTTCTATTAAAAATGACTGTCGCTCTCTAGTGGTTACTTATTACGACCCAATGGACACTTGTTTTTTATTACAAACTTGAAGATTGTTTTTTTGTTATTCTACAAAGCTATTTACAGAAATACACAAACTGAAACGAAATGCAGTTTCTCAGTAGCCTCTCCAGTGCAATAATTTGAGGTTGTCTTCACGAAAAAACATCAAACAAAACAAGAAAAAAAAAACCATCATCAGATATTCTGGTGCTTGGTTGGTGACATTTACAACGTTTTCGATAGTGAACATTATTTTCAACATAATCCTCTAAAGTTTTATTTCATCAGATAGTGCTGCCTTTATGAAATATCATAACATTGGCCGTGTTCAAGTTGAGCAGCGCCTCGCCTGGAAAACAGACAAGAGCAGACGGACGCAGCAGGGGGAGTGGCTGAAAGCCGGCGTTTAAGTCGGACAGATTTCCCTACATGTGTAGCTCGGGGGTGACGATAGCTGAAGATATCGCGTTAGAGTTTACACTGTTTAATTATTTATTTTAATTCTGGTGCCTGTTAGCAGCTGAAACACATCCTCACATGCTTGTGGATATCATATATTGTATATGAAGACATGACTGTAATAATAAGTAAAGGTTATCAGCTGTAGGTTTAGTGTGCTCATAGGAAACGTGACAAAAGAACACAAAACACATTCCTCTTTATGGCCTATATAGTTATCATCATCAACATAACATGATTTACAGAATACATGCGACCAACTAACATTTCATGTTCTACCACCGGATGTTTGGATCAAAATAAGAACCAATCAGATTTTAGATCAGGTGAGAGCCAGGTGTTTCCCGTCATCCTCTAGGTTTTGCAGCCGGTGGAGCATAGCTGCGGACGTAGCCCGGGCCAAACACGCCCCCGGCCAACCGTCCGCAGCTAGACCTACTCGGTGGAGAGCAACTGCAGCGCCTTGCTCCAAAATCTGCGGCCGCCTTGATCTCATGAGGTTATCGCTGCCTACGTGTGCATGACGTCAGAGCAAGTCGGCGTCAAGTCGGACACAAATCTAACCAGCATGCACTCCGCGCCGATCACCGCTGGTCCAATCTGCGCAGAACTAGCTTATCTCAAACACAGCCAATATCATCATATTGCTCGAAGTACAGGGCGAGGAGGAGGAGTAGCAACCAATTTTCATTCGGACTTATTAATCAGTCCCTTACCAATTAATAGCTACAGGTCGTTCGAACATCTTATTCTTAGTTTTCCTAATCCAGATTGTAAAACTGTAAAACCACTCTTGCTTGTAGTTTTATATCGTCCACCAGGCCCTTACTTTGAGTTTTTGGATCAGATCTCAGATTTTTTATCTGATTTGGTGCTAAATACTGATAAGGTCATTGTAGTGGGGGATTTTAATATTCATGTGGACATTGAAAATGATTGCCTCAATGTAGCCTTTAGTAATATCTTAGACTCAATTGGTTTCACTCAAAGAATACATAGCTCCACCCACTTCTGCCATCATACATTGGACCTTGTGCTGACTTATGGCATTGAGTGTGAGGAAATAACAATCTTTCCACATATTCCAGTCCTCTCGGACCACTTTCTGATAACCTTTGAGTTGTATATAACTGAGTTCTCAAGA